CCAAGTGGCTGCAACAGCTGTAGCTAAGCTGTGGCCTCAATGGGCAGAACTGAGCTGAGCTGAAGCCAGGAGCCCACAGCCTCTTCCGGGTGTCCCATGTGGGTGCAGAGCCCCAAGGCTGGATTTGAGCCAGCACTCTGATATGGAACTCTAGCAACACGAAATAGCTTATCCTGATATAGCACAGCATTGGCCAATGGCTTTTGCGCTCTCATTCCAGCTGCCTGTTACTGTGCACACCAAATGCCTGCAGATGATGACTCCAGTATCCAGGGCCCTGCCATCTAGGTGGGAGACCTAATGAAGTTCCTGGTTCCCACCCTGACTCTTGCAGGCTTTTGGAGTGAGCCAGTGGATGGAAGATTACTCTCCATCTCTCTAAAAATTTCAAGTAAAATGAGAGCAAATAAAATACATTATTTTTAGTGAAAAGCTTCAAGGAGTGCTGGGGCTGAACCTTGAAAGAAAGGGAGCTTTCTAAAAGCCAAGTGAAAAAAGAGGTAGCTTTGGGGCTGTCATGATGGTACAGGTGACTAATGCTCCATCTGCAAATGCCTGCATCCCACATGGGCACTGGTTCTACCCCCAGCTTCTCCACTCTGATCCAGCTCCCTACCTATGGCCTGCTGTAACAACAGATGATTGTCCAAGTCGTTGGGACCCTGCACTCATGTTGGGGACCCGGAAGAAGCTCCTGGCTCCTGACTTTGAATCGGTGCAGCTCTGGCCATTGCAGCCATTTGGGGAGTGAACCAGTAGATGGAAGATAGTTCTCTGTAAATCTGCCTTTCCAATAAAAACAAATTCGAAAAGAATAAGGAGGAACCAGAAATGGCTACCGATGGAAGGTGGCAAAATGTTATGAAATGCTACTGTTTCCATGCAGAACTCTTTCCAAGAAAGTGCACTTTTTATAGGAGTGGCCTCCAAGACAGCTGTCCTTTGAACAGAAGGCTGGGTCTGCCTAAGCAGGGACACTTCAAACAGATGACACCGCCACTCTTATTTATGCTTTGGCAAGCCTGTATGTCAATGTTAGCAAGTTCAAACCTGTTATGTTCACTAACTTGTATGAAAACTATTCATTTGTTTTCATTTTACATTTCTTTAGAGAAGCCGCTTGCTAAAGTAATGTATAAAAAACACTGACTTGGGCCTGGCGGCATGGCCTAGTGGCTAAAGTCCTCGCCTTGAAGGCACCGGGATCCCATATGGATGCTGGTTCTACTCCCAGCAGCCCTACTTCCCATCCAGCTCCCTGCCTGTGGCCTGGGAAAGTAGTGGAGGACAGCCCAAGGCCTTGGGACCCTGCACCCGCGTGGGGGACCTGGAGGAGGTTCCTGGCTTCTGGCTCCAGATCGGCACAACACTGGCCATTGTGCTCACCTGGGGGAGTGAATCATCGGACGGAAGATATTTCTCTCTATCTCTCCTCCTCTCTGTATATCTGACTTTGTAATACAAATAAATAAATAAATCTTTTTAAAAACAAACAAACAACAACAACAACAAACCACTGACTTGCATGAGAGATAAGGTCAGCAAACTATAGCTCACAGAGCTGGTCCCACTGCCTGTTGCCTGTATTTGTGACCCTCGTAATAAGAATGGCTGTTTGTGTGTGTTTTTTATATATATATACATATATAATTATTTACTTATTTTTATTTGGAAGGTAGTTACACAGAGGAGACACGCAGTGAGAGAGCTCCTCTATCTGCTGATTCACTTGCCACATGGCTGCAATGGCTGGAGCTAGGCAAGACAGAAGAGCTTCTTCCACGTCTCAGATGGGTGCAGGGCCCCAAGGACTGTTGTTTTCCTAGGCACACTAGCAGGGAGCTAGATTGGTGGCATTTCCAATTCTCTAACTATCACTCATATGGGCTGCTAGTGCAGCAGGTAGAGGCTTAGCTTGCTATGCCACAGTGCTAGCCCCAAGAATGATTATTTTTTAAAATCATTTTTATTGGAAAGGCAGATTATTTTTATTGGAAAGTCAGATATACAGAAAGGAGGGGAGACAGAGAGGAAGACCTTCCATCCAATGATTCACTCCCCAAGCGGCTGCGCAGATCCAAAGCCACGAGCCTGGAGCTTCTTCTGGGGTCTCCCATGCAGGTACAGGGTCCCAAGACTTTGGGCCATCCTCAACTGCCTTCTCAGGCCACAAGGAGGGAGCTGGGTGGGAAGCAGGGCTGCTGGGATACTCACCAACGCCCATATGGGATCCCAGTGCATACAATGTAAGGACTTTAGCCACTAGGCTACCATGCCGGCCTGTGATTTAATGGTTGCAAAAATCAGAATAATAATTCAGGTTACATGAAACAATCTCATTTTCAGGTTTCAATACTCCTAAATAGTTCTGAAGGTACATTCCTACATTCACCCTTCAATGTATGATCTATGGCTGTTTTCATTGCTATTGTAACAGTTCAATGATTGTAGGGATCATGATGTCCTGCCAATGCTAAACTATCAGCCAGCCCTCCCCTCAGCAGAGGAAGCAATGTTATCAACATGTAGCGATTTTGTCCTTCAGAAGAGCTTTGGGCATCTTGGGAACATTCTGCGTTGTTACAACAGCAGGATGGGGAGAGTGGCACTGATATTTGGTGGGCAGAGGCCAAGGACACCAGTTTTGTACAATGCACAGCACAATCCCCACACAACAAAAAAGGATCTGGATCGAAATGACCATAATATAAAAGTTGAGAAACCCTAGATTAGAGAACCCTAGGGGGAATATTCTCTATCACAAGGAAAAACTCCATTCTTAAAGACAAAATTTCATTTATTGAATCCCCAGGTGTTTAATTAGCCCAGGTAGTCTTCACAATAATCCAGACAGGGAGTCATTGACAATCTCCTTTTCTAAAAGGTTTTTGTTTTTGTTTTTTAACTACAACCTGCCCTAGAGCACACAGGCAGCATTTGTTTAGCTGCAGGAGCTTGTATTTTTCCAGAATACGTCAGCCCTTGTCTTCTGCTAGTGACGTCACAGGCGAGCACTGTCACGCACTGCTGCCCCCTCGTGTCAAAGGAGCGCAGAGGCAAGCCGACAGCTTTGTTTTGGAACCCACCTCAGGCCTTGTAAGCTTTGGTATGTGGAGGATTCACACCATTCTTCTTGCATTCAACATCTGGCCGCGACAGCAAGGAAGCTGAGAAGAAAAACTCACCTTGGCTTCAACCAGAATTATGAAAATGACCACCCTTACACTTGGCCGCTTTAACGCTTGGGGGGATGGCAGCTTGCAAGACCCACGACAAAAGCTACTGCTTCCTATCTACAGAATGTTTTTGTATCATAGGGAAGTCACATTTATGGATGTTGGGGGATGCTCACATCATAGGATTAAATGTGAGAAGGCCCGAAGTATAGTTTTTTTTCCCTTCCAAAATTAAAACTCATCTGAATAGTGTTCTGTAAGATCATTCCACTTCTTCCATCTATTCCCATAGGACCTAGATGATAATTAGCTCAATGGATCTGCAAAATCCATGCTAATAAAGGAAAAGCAGGGAATGTCCTGCTCACTCCAACCCCATGCCAGTGGTAATTCTAGGCCCAGTTGGTGGAAGGGAAAGAAGCCAAAAAGATGTCAAGGACTGCTGGTGCTTCCCAGAGCTCCTCCCACTGTGGACCCAAAGCCACCCACTTCTTCTAGGGCAAACCACCAGTGTGAGTCACATGACTCCATGATTTAAGATGAGAGCACACAGTCATTTAGCCTTTCTTTGAATTTTATTGAAAATTAACATGGACATTAGAAAGGTATCAAGGTAAACAGTGCTGGTTCTGGGATGTTTCTCGTGGAGAATGAAAGCCCCAGAAGGGCAGTGATTGGTTTATACCTCTGAGCAAAAAGAACAAAGGAGAAGAAAGGAAAAAACAAAAACACAGGTTCTGGAAAAACATGCAAAGATGCTCTCTCAAGAGACAATGGACAGCGGAGTGGTGCTGATTGATGGTGGGAGGGCCATGTGGGAATGGGCACCCTCAACATGGTATTTTGATGCAAGTTAAACCAGTGAGTTCAAGGCAAGGGCATCCACATCAAAGCTCTCCCTCCAGACCCCAGGCTGAGCAGAGACCTTGATCTAAACCCCAACTGGCCCTAGAAGGTTGAATGGAGTAACTCTGCTCTCACTAGGCTTAAATCCCCTCTTCAACTCTTCCTTCCCCACCTGAATGCTGATGGATAGTTTTTCTCTTTGTTGGGGTTTACAGAAGTTTTGTGAATGCTGAAGATGATATAAATGTCACTTGATTTTCTCTTCTATATTCAGAGATACTTAAAGAGTCAACAGAGATAGGCAACCCATCGAACCAGAGAATGGTTGTTTCAAAAGGAAAAAACATACACCTCAATCAAAAAACCTTGGGAACAACACTTGCACCCCCATAGCTGAGGTCTCCTGCCCCAGTCACTTACACTTGGGTGAGTGCTCCTGCAGTTGTCTCTGAGGATACATTTGGTCCATTTTCCAGTTCTGCCGGTTCCTGTCCTGCCTTGTTAATTTAGGACAAGCCACTTCCATTGAAAATACCATGTAAGTCTGAAGAGAGCTTCTTGCCTGGACACAGGGACACGGGGACACTTGCCGAGGAGTGTGTGTATGTGCGCGCAGTTTTGGGGGGAAGGGATCGGCTGCTTTCTGGTCTGAGACAATATGGAACCCTAACTCTTCTACAATGGCAGTCTTCTCCTTTAGACTTAGTGCAGCGGCTGAAGACAAGATTAAAAAAAGCTGGAAAGGGAGAGAGAAAGAGAAAGAAAACATGAAATTAGCCAGAGAAAAAGGCCGTTCACGATAAGACAGGGCAGGGGAGTGGGCAGTGTGAAACAGTACAGGTTATACTTGGAGAAGACAGGCTAGACAGGCAGGTCATACATGGGCCATCACCGTGGCAGGGGTGGAGGGGGAGGGTGTGGTGTGTTGGGGGTGGGAGGTGAACGAGCGGAGGAGCTTTGAAGAACACCACATACTGGTTGAAAGCTTCTTGTTTTAATGAAAAACAAGCACATATTCACAGCTACATGGGAAGGTCAAAGGAATAAAACCCAAACCCAAATCAAAAGTGATCTGCACTGGGCAAGCAAACTTCTTGGCGTCAGGGGAAATAAAGGGTGTGTGCATGTGTGTGTGTGTCTCAAAGCCATTCCATTCCTTTCTAGGCAAAGGAAAGCACTGACCATTTTTAATGACTGGTTTGCTTCACCAGGAGTAAACAGAGAGCTTAGGACACTCTTAAAAAAAAAAAAAAAAGGCTGAGCTAAAAAAAGAAAAAAATCCTTTCTGTCTACATTTTAAAAAAAAAAAGCTACCCAATGGAATAAACGTTTTAATTTTTTGAATAGCCTTGATCAACCTTCTAAAGGCTGTGTTCACTTACCCATCTCCCCTGATTAACGATTGCCCAGATATCTGCCCCATTGGCCCTGTTGAAACCTTGGAGCTAAGCTGCCCCCTCATCCCTGCCTGGGCAGCAGTGCTGGGTTAAAGAGCTGGCCAGGAGCCTTTGCCTTGCCCACCTTTACCCCATACACCACACCCCAGGGTGCTTTTCTATGGGGAAAAAACTTCAAGAATCCTATAATACTGACTACGTGGTTTCTCTGAATAGCAAAAGACTTTGCCCTTTCACCTTGGTGAAATGGATTGGGGGTAAAATGACATGGCATTTAGTTTGGTTTAGGGAACCAAACAGCAGGGGGACCTCAGGCAAGTGCCTTCACTTCTCCAGCTCTCAATTTGCTCTTGTGGACTAAGCAGCTTCTTTTTAGCCAGCTTCCTGACCAAAAATATCTTCCTCAATCTGAAATCTTGGCTTTGCTTTTCACAGATGCTGTGGCTCCATCACTTTTGCAGTATTTAGAGCTTCTGCAGCCTCAAGTCATCTGTCACTCAATCCAGACAAGGGGGTTCTAGTGTGTCATGCAAATGTGACCCCAGGAGTAGTGATTATCTGCTGGTGGACATAAAAACACCTAAGCTCCTCAAGGGGACTTGGTGGTCCCAGTTCCCGCATCTCTCAGAACTATTGGCTGAGTACCCAAGGGGTTTGTTTCTAGAACTAGATATTGGCATTAATTTTCATGTATTTACTTCCAAGCATAGGGCTTGCTAAAGTGTACCACCCTAATTTGGATTTTCCCATAAAATTACTTAGGTTTCTGCTTGCCTCTCATCACTACTGATCTTTAAGGCACCAAACAACCACCTCTCAAAATTGCATTCTTGCTTTGCCAACAAGAAAAAAAAGTGTGTGCATGTATTTGCTTTATACCCTTTTTTGTTTATTTTTGGCTTCCTATGATTATTATTGAAAAGAGAAAACTCCTTCCCTTTTTCAAGAAGGCATGGACCTTTGGCATGGCCTGGTTTGCCTGCGTAATTTGAAAATAACTGATCCCAAAAGAACAACTTTAATGGGGGTGGGGGGAGCAGGGAAGTCATGGTCAGTGCCAGTGGGAGTACAAGGCAGGAACAAGTTGCAAAACTCAAAAAGAAGTGGGGCTTGGAATACATGGCAGGAATGGGGAGCCCAGCTGCCTAGCACTCCAAAGGAAAGCTGTCAGTTAAACTAGGAATCTCGGCATAAAATGCTAAATGGAGTCCAGTCCAGCTGTAGCGGGGAATACTATTCAGTACACAGCCATGGATTACTGCAAAGGAAGGGCAGAGAGACTGCATGTTAGCCACAGATCACTGTCAGGTCCCCTCCAGCTCTCATTCTGTCACTGGCCAAACAGCAAAGGCCACTCAGCTCATGGCTATGCTGTGAGGACAGTGTGCTCTCTCAGCCTAAGGGTTTCCCAAAGCAACTACCAGATAGGACCCGCTGGGGGAAATGTGGGCTGGAATTGTCTTGAAAATATGAAGACTGGAAATAAAGCTGAGGCCTTTTCCAAGCATAGCTCTTCGTTCTTCTGTCCAGCTGAGAGCCTCACCTCTATTGTAACTGGGTGTGTGTGCAAAATGCATACTCAGCATCATCACTGCATTCACTGAATAGACTAGAAGACTCATTTGCACAAACCCCAAACACCTGTGCCATGGTCCTGTTTGTCAGTTTATGACATAAGCTTCTCACTCCTGCAGGTCTATCACTGAAGACTCTAGACTCACAAGCATATTCATGTTTAGTCTTCTTTTCATGCTGTAGGCACCCAGGGTTAGAGAGGGGGTGTGTGTGTGTGTGTGTGTGTGTGTGTGTGTGTGTGTGTGTGTCCGGGGGAAATGGATGCTTTTATTCTCCAGCAATTGTGCTTTACAGGAAGGGCTTGGAATAAATAAATGAGCCCAATTTTGAACACGGCTTGAGCAGTTTCTTGGTGGTGAATGAAAGGCATCCAGGGCTGGGCGAAGTGGCCAGAAGGAGAAGGCACCAAAAAGATCTTCTGGAGCCTTCTTTTGAGGGGGGCTGTGGTTGTTGGGGGCATTTCCAAGCCATGAGACTGCTAAAGGCTTGACCAGGAGCCACACACTATGCTTGTACTTTCAGTTTCAGGCAAAGGAAGAGGTGGGGGAGGCTCAGGTTGCATGTCCTGGGTTTGTTAAAGGAGGGTTAGAGAGAGACAGAGAGAGGGAGGCCTTGGTTCTGTTTCAAAGGAAAGGGGTGTCTATAGGAAGCCCAAACTGAAAATGAAAAGAGGGATTGGGTTAATAAATGGATGGGTTAGTGTACTAGGATAAACAAGGTCAGACCGAAATTGCTTCAGTGATGACACCTAATGGACCAATTAGAACACAACTGAGTTAAATGGCTCTGGGGTCTTTTTTTTTTTTTTCCCTAGGCTTTAGGGATATGTTTTCCTCTCACATACTCATACATGCCCTGAATGGTCACAGGGGTGGCATCAGCAAGCAAACTAATGATCACCAGTGAGTAAAATACTTGTATCTCTCTTTAGCTCCTAGGTCCTGACTAGAGCTACCCCCCACCGATGCCTTGTGCAGGAATGTGCTCAGCAAATGCCCATTGGCCTCAGGCCCCTGGACAGAGTCCCAGGCACGCAGCACTGCATTTCCTTATCCCAAACTGAAAACAGGAGAAGCTGAGTTTCCACCTCAGTTAGCTTTTGGAGCAGTCCTAGCCTGATGACTGCTATGCTGGGGCAAGGTCTGCCTGTGAAACATCAGGGACAGGGGCAGGATGGTTGCTGGGCCCTGGCCTAGTTATCCAGGCCAGTTCCCCAAAACCTTGAAGCATGAAAGTACCACCTACTGCGTGTGTTCTCATAGCACTTTGCTCTTTCCCTTAATCTTGCAACATAAACAGGACAAGCAGTTGCAGTTGCCATTTGACATATGAATAAACTGAGAAACATAGGAAGTCTACCAATTTATCTGTGGTCACAAAGAATCAAAGCCAAGGATACAACTGTTAATAATTATGACTTTTTCCATCACCCCAATGTCTCCAATAATTCCTTGGCTGTGGATCTGAGCCCCCTCCTTTTTTTTTTAACCAAAAGAATATGTTCATCCCATTAAATGAAGACTAGGAGATACTTCGAGAGGGGGTAGAAACACAGGCATATAATCAGCATGTGGGTATAGTTACTTTCACAAAGTGACTATACTCACACACATTAGTTCTCTTTCTCTTGTGAGCTGCCACTTACTGTAGGCACAGGATTCTGCATTCTGGTTCCAGTACTGTCACAAACTACACTTTCTGACCCTTGCCAAGTCTCAGTTCTCCCTTTTTTCTCTACCAACTGGTATATCACATACAAAAAACTTTGAAAAGTAACATGTTAAATGAATGCACATCTCTTATTATTGTCTTAGTTTTGGGGGAAAGAGTAAACTAAAAAACACCCTGCATGGGTTGATGGTCTAGGCTTAAAGGAAAAGCTGGCATATTTCATGTGTGTATACTGTCTGCATGCTTCGTAACCCCAAGGGTCAATAACTACTGATAGACGGTCTTCCCAACTGTGTACTGCCACTAAAAGAATTTTTGTAGTGTTACAGATCACTAACAATAGTGTGTCGTAAGTAATTTCCAAACCATACCGGTGGCAGGGTGGGGGTGGCTTTTCCCACAGATCCTGGCGAGCCAAGGCACCCTGTTGGATTGGGAACTGCCTCCTCAGTCTGCTGGTTGGGGGAAAAGCCTATGCCAATCCACTTGCGGCTGGCCATTCCACCTGTTCACCAACAGCCTCCCATTTTGGGGGGGGGGGAGAAGATGTATTTACTTACTTGAAAGGCAGAGTTAGAGAGAGAGGGAGGGTGGGAGACAGAGACAAATCTTCCATCTGCTGGTTCATTCCCCCCATGCCCCCTGGCTCATTGTTGCAATAGTCAAGAAGTACTAGGATGAAGCCAGGAATCAGCAGCTTGTTCCAGGTCTCCCACATGAGTGCAGGGACCTAAGGACTTGAGCCACCCACCACTGCTTTTCCAGGCACATTAGCAGCAAGCTGGATTGGAAGGTGAGCAGCCAGGACATGAACTGGCATTTATATCGGATGCCAGTATTGCAGGTGGTATCTTTAGCTGCTACACCACAGCACCCACCTCCCCCATTTATACATACAGTGTGGCTTTCATTACAGTTTGGCCAGAGCTCATTTTAGGAATGGCCTCATTTTAGGAATGCTTTAATGGGGAAATCCGAATGAAATTGTGCCAAGAAACATACACTGAAACCCAAATAAATTGCAATATAATTTACCAAAATACATTTTTCATGTTTTGCCCATTGGAAATGATGGTGGGAGGGGAAAGGCCAGTGGTATGGTACAGAGGGTAAAGCCCACTTGAAATATCTGCATCCCACATGAGCACAGGTTTCGTTCCCGATCACTCTGCTTCTGATCCAGCTCCCTGCTAACATACCTGGGAAGGCAGGGTAAAATGGCCCAAGTGTTGGGTCACTGCCATCCATGTGGGAGGCCAGGATGGAGTTCCTGGATCAAGGCTTCGGCCTACCCCTGGATGTGGCTGTGGCCATATAAAGAGTGAACCAGGAAATGGAAGATCTTTCTGTCTCAATCATTCTGCCTTTCAAATAAATATAATTTAAGAAATCTTAGAAGATCAAGGAAAAGAGGCATGAGCTGCACTTAGGCTGTATGTCAATTTTTAGGCACAAGGACTACAGCAGTGGATGGATATTCTAGGAGGTCATAGTCTTCCTAAATGGGAAGCTGCTGCTTAATTCTACTCAGCTAGCAGGGGCTCCAAGGACTGCCCTGAGACCAGCTAATCATTTCATTGTCCTTTCAGTATTGTTTCATTTGGCCCAATTTCATAATAGGTCTTAGGCTGCAGGAACCTCTCTGGGCTTCCCCAACATTGGCTTGAATGTCAGATGTTTTTCCAGCTGCCCCAAGCTTCCACTATAAGAGCTGCTGCCATAAGCTTGGTCGCTCACTCGCCACAGGCTCTTCACTTATGTCATAGGTTATACCCAGGTGAGGCAGGAAAAGTCTTCTCAGTATTTTCTGCCTCCTAATCTCCACAAACCAAACATAAAAGCTATTAGGGAGGCAATTGGGTATCTTTCCAACACTGGCTAGAAGTTTTAGCTGAATGTTTTTGCCAATTTTGTAGGTATGATACTTGGATTGTGGGTATTTTTTTTTTTTTGAGTCATTAGCTCTTGGAGCTACCCATTAAAGTGTTCACAGATGAGATTTTGTAGGTCTTGCTTTAGAGTACTTAAGGTCTTGCTAGATGGAACAGGATTGCCTGTGTGTTGATGAATAGCTGCAGGCTAGGCTGCAGGTACATCAGGCAGTACTGCACTCCTCTCTCATAGTAGGCTCATGGTTGACAGTTTTATGACAAAGTTGAGAAAAAATCACAATACACCTAATAGGGTGCCATTAAAACCATTCATATTCCTTCTCCCTTTAGCATTTGAGTATCACTGCTTTCAATCTCCCTATACATTATGTGAGCCAGAGACTGCTACCTTAACTTCTCACCAAAATTACCTGCTTAATGGTCCTAGTCAGGGGTTTTTCTGAAGCTGGTATTTATACAATTAAATGTAAGGGATTCTCTAGAATATCTGAGGTCTCTTCATTTTTTCCATATCTTTTATGATAGCTTTGGAGTGGAGGTACATAGCCAAAAGAACTTTGAGAAACAGATAAGAATCAGCCACCAAAGGGAAAATGAGAAAGAAACTAGTTCCTGTTGGCGCTGGACATTCCCAAATCTAGGGATCAATGTTGACTATAACACTGAAGGATGAAACTTGTGAATTCAACTGTTTTTCTTGGCATTTCAGTTTAATTCCTTTTGAAAGTAAGGAATATTACTCTTAGGAAAACAACTGCTCAAGTGTAATCCTCAAATATTGATCACAAGATCTGCCTATGCTAGCCAAATGTTTTAATAGCAAAAAACAAAACAAAATCTGTAACTCATATTCTCCCACCCCAACCTCATTTTAATCAAACAGGCAGGCATGCCACATATGAGACCACACCAGACTATTTCTTAATATTGTAAGACACGAGAGGACACCAGCTAGCCCAGTAAAATAGTTCCTTTTATGATTAGATCTGTGTGAAGGGGGTGTGTGATTGGGGAAGTTATGATCTAGAAGTCACTGCCAGTTTTATTTAGAGTTAATAAAGCTTACCAGGACCCTGGGTTTCATGCAGCATGCAGCAAACAGCAGAGTTAACTGTAAAACAGTAAGAGCTGATGAAGATGGAGTGAGCATGAGGAGAAATCAAATATTATGAGTTGACACCAACAATGAAGGGTTAGAAGTCAAAGGAGATTGGGGTGGCAGGAAGGGTAAGAGGAGGGGTGGGTTAACTGGGATCTGTGAACTACTGGCACTTTTCCTTAATCTCTTTAAGAATAGGCAAAGGAAAGAATACATGACTCCATTAGATCCAAGCACCATATCAAGAACCATTTCTCCCACCATGTCTGCCTTGAATTGCCACTGTCACCACCACTGGGAGCAGAGTAACACAGGCCAAATGACAGCGGTCTTCTAAGAGTTGGCCAGCTGTGCATGGGACTCTATAAGAAGCCCACAGACTCTGGGGCCACTTACACAACTGGACGGGTGGAAGAGGACTGGTTCTTTTGATAGGGCCCTTATCACTAATATGAGGTGCCATAGGTCGGCAAGGGTGTCACTCATCTCAGAACTGGAAAAGCTTGCCACCATCAATCCCAAATGCTACTGGAGCCTGGAGACAGGGATTTCTTATATAGGCAGATTTTGGTCTGAGCTGGGAGGAAGGCAGTCCATTTGAAGCCATGAGTGGAAAACATGGTCTGAGAGGACTTTTCACTGACTATCTGAATAGGAAATATTTAAAGAGTTTGGTGCTAGTGCAGTATGAACAAACTATTCAATCCTCTAGTTGCTGTGAGCAGGCAGGAAAACTGCCCCAGGGACAGAGTTAACAAGTACACCAGGACTACAAAGGCAGCAGATTGGACCTTCAGAACAAATTCAGTTTTCTGATCTTAAAAATAGGAATCTGTATTCCTGCTGGTGCAACTAATGCAACCATGACAAATACGTAAATATATGGTATGCCTAAAGAGACTGAATAAAGTTAGCTGAACTTTATTCAACTCATAATATTTTCAAAATGAATTAAATAATGAATTTGACATACAAGATATCTTTAAAAGGGTCATGGAAAATGCATATAATGGAAAAACTGCATGTACTATTTTAAAAATTTGTACCAAAATAAATTTATCTTTTAATTTCATTTTTCCACAATCTTTCTTTTCCATACCCTTGTATAGTGTGGAGGTTCAGTGACAAATATCTGGACTAACTGGTAAACATGTTTAAGTGACACTTTTCAATAAAGAATCATCAGAGTGCAAACATGAGTGCCTTCAAACACAAAATACTGTACTGTTAGACCAAAGTCACCGAGTTATTCCTGAGTGACAAGTTAGGCACAGAGGAAAGCAAGATGATACTTCCTTCTAGAAGGTATCCCGGGAACAAGTGGCTATCAATAGAAGGTCATGACCATGGACATCTCTCAGATCCCCTAAGATCTTTTAGTAGGGACCGTGTGACACACTCCATCTGGGAGCTCCACGAGTCATGCTGCTCAAGCAACAGCATTGCACATGGGGACTGCTTCTTGCTGTTGCATAGGCACCATCACCAGTGCTTTTCTTTTCTTTTTTCTTTTTCTGGTTCTAAGATGGAGAGCAGGTAACTTCAGCAAGCAGAGGGCATGTGGTTGGGTCTCTCTAAATGACCCACATGTGATGTGGTGGATTTCATGAGACTTAACCTTACCAAAATACTGGGGGAGACAGAATGGTTTTGAAATCATTCCTTGGACTGAGAGTGGGGCACACAGAGCACACTGGCACCTGAGGCTCCTCATTATATTCTCAGTACCCCAGGCTGGGTGCAATTAAGCAGCCAGCAGGGAGATAGCAAAGGGCACAGGAACCCAAGGCCAGGTTGCATGTAGCCTTCAGCAGTGGGAGTTACGTCCTGCTGCCTGCAGCTAGTGAGAGCTGAAGCGGCCTGAGGGTTGGACTGCACAGAGAGGTGGAAAGCAAATCGGCCTGTAAGCCGCATCAGCTCCACTCTGAGGCAAGGCTGCGAGGGGAGAAAAAGGGTGACCAGGGCCTTCTACAAAAGCCCTCTCTCTTCCTGTACCCTCCATTTGCCCTGATTTTGGTTCCTCTCTTTCTTAGAACTTTGCTCTTCCGGCCGCTTCTTCTACTCTTTCAGTCCCTTTGCTTGGTCTCCTTCTCTTCCATCCACAAATTCCTTTGCATCTGCAGGGTTTTCCTGAGCAGAATGTGGGAAGAGGCCAGGCCTCCGAGAACACACATCACCCCTAGTCTCAGCTCCCCAAAGCTAGGGAAGCAGGATCTCGAGGGGATGCTAAGCCTGGGACACCATGTGGTTGCACAGCCCATGCACAGGTTACCTCTGGTTGCCAGCCTGCCTGCCTCAGCCTCTGGAGCCTGCTCAGAGTGGATGCACAGGAGGAGAGAGAAACCACTTCCCTGGAGCAGCCCATGACTTACTTTTTCTTCTCTTTGTCTCTTTTCAGAGTCTGTGAGCCTCCAGCCTGGGAACCCTGGGACTGGAGCAGCTCGGCCGCCGTCTTCCTCTGTTTGAAAGCGTTCACTTCGTCATCCAGGGACTTCTTCTTGTCCTCCAGCTTCTTTTTCTCATCCTGGTGCAGTTTCTTGAGGCGGTCAAACTTCTCATGCAGCTGGCAGGAAGCACAGTGAATTGGGAATGAGTCCTTGACAGCAGCACCTAGCCCAGCTGAGCCCTGGGTGGGGACTGGCAGATTTGCAACCCTGCAGGATTCTGGGATTGCTGTACACATCCCTGCCCGGGGCTGTCGCAATGGTATCAAAAGAATCATGCTCACCAGCATGGAAAGTGTAATTTCAATAACCTGATCCATCCTGGTGGGTTTGTTTTTTTTTTTTTTTTGGCTGCATCCCATGTGTTTTTCTGTTTTTGATTTCAGTTTCATTTATTACAAATACTTTCTTTTCTCTTGTCGAATTCATCACTGGCTCATGTATTACACAGTGGCACCATTTTTCCCAAGAGACTTTTGTGTTTCCTTTTTGCTACCCTTGTGTTGGTTATTCAATGGTGCGTTTTTTTCATAGTACTGTAATTTGTTGTTGTTGTGGCTGTTGTTCTAATTCATACCAGTTGTTGACCTTATTGTATGGGTTCTCATTTATGGTAATGTATAGTGATGGAGTATTAGGGATTACCATATCCAGATGTGGGGGTACAGTGCAACATGCATCCCTGCTTTCAAACAAAAGATGGATTCCCAATGAAACTGTTGGAAATGTGTAGACAATGGGATGCTGGACTGACTGATGTACCAGCAATGTCGGGACACACTTAAATAACAGACTGATGGAATTATGACTCCTTATGAAGGAATATACTATTGTAGCAACATGGAGAAAGTCTGTTCGGGGTGGGATTGGGGGTGGGGAAATCCCAGTAGATTGTACCACGAGATTCAAAATAAAAATATAACAAAAAAGAGGTATAAAGCAAAAAAAAAAAAAAAGTCATGCTCAAGCTAGTTCTCTACTCTTGTAACTTTCTCAAAGTGTCTACTATGAATATAGTTAAGAACAAACTCAAACATTTTGTCTGAATCACTGGAATTACCCGCATGGTTAATAATGTCAATGATAATAATACAACATTTATTGAGTGCTTATTAGGGACCAAGCCTTAATTTTTGTAAGCAGTTTCTATTTCTGTCTTACGAGGAAATGGGTTCTGAGAAGCTAAGAAGTTTGCCAAGGTCAACCTGGTCTTTTAAGGATTGTACAATAGGACTTCCGATATGTAAGAGGCCCCTGCCTGTTCCTTCCCCCCACAATCAAGAAGAAGCACCACAGTGCAGAAAAATCTTCAGCAGTGGCAAAGCTGGCTACAGGAAACACCCTCAGACACGGAAATGAGGTGTAAAAGGAAGTGAGTGCAAGTACCTCAACTTTAACCAAGGGGAAGCTTAACTGGCCATGAATACAACCAGAGCCCCTACAGAATGGCAAGGCTGTTTCAGTCTGCCACAGTCACAAGTGCATCAGAGAACAAGGGCACAGATCAGCACGAATCTCTCTGAATGGCAGATACCAGGAAAGTCTAACTTTTCATTTTCGTTGGAGGCATTGAGAGAGTTCAGGATGCTGTGACACGTGTAATATGCCATGAAGAAGATTAATTCTCCAGGTCCTCCAGGTATCTTGGACTATCGCATTGCAAACTGTGCTGGATGATCCAGCTCTCCCTTACCCACTTGGAGTGAGGCTGTCGCTTGGGCTGCCCATTCATCACTTTAACCTGGCTTAGGTTCGTGTCCTCTACACCCTCCTTTAAAAAAAAAGATTTACTTATTTTTATTGGAAAGACAGATCAGATTTATGGAGAGAATGAGAGACAGAGAGAAAGATCTTCCATCCACTGGTTTACTCCCCACGTGGCCGCAACAGCTGGAGCTCAGCCGATTCGAATTCAGGAACCAGGAGTTTCTTCCTTGTCTCTTACATGGGTGCAGGGTCCCAAGGCTTTAGGCCATCCTCGAGGACACTGCTTTCCCAGGCCACAAGCAGGGAGCTGGATGGGAAGTGGAGCAGCTGGGATACCAACCGAGGCCCATACAGGATGCCAGCACTGGCAGGTGGAGGATTAGCCAGTTGAGTCATCTTTGAGAGCCCCTCACCTCTCCTCTCAAAAGTGCTGGTTGACATTTGTCTTTCCAAAAGTGAAACCAAGGGAAAGTCGATTTCATATGGCTACAGCCTCTGGCTGTAAGCTTTGAGATCACAGTGGAGTGAAAGTGAAGAGACCTGGAATGTAAGGAAGAGCTTCCATTCTTACTTTGAGGCCCCAGAGAGCTGAAGTGGTAGCAGACATAGCCAAAGCAAGGCCTTAGGCTGGTCAATCTAACAGCACAAGGTGAACTGGTATAGGAGACCTTGCACAAAATGCTATCCAGGGACTCACTACGAAAGTTTAGGAATCACTTAAACAGTGAAAATCCCAGCCAGGCTTATCAGATCACAGTGTAAAATCTGTCTAGTCTGGGTTAGGGCAATGGCTCAACAGGACAAATCCTTTACCTTGCAGTGCTGGCACCCCATATGAGCACTGGCTCTAGTCCCTGCTGTTCCACTTTTGATCCAGTTCCCTGCTTATGGCCTGGGAAAGCAACAGAAGATGTCCAAAGTCTTAGAACCCTGCATCCATGTGGGAGACCCCAAAGAAGCTCCAGGCTTTAAATTAGAATAGTTCAGTTGTAGCCATTGTGGCCATTTGGGGAATGAGCCAGTAGACAGAAGATCTTTCTACCTTTTCTCTCTGTAAGTGTGCTTTTCAAATAAAATAAATCTTTTTTTTTTCCTTAAAGTGCACTAACTTGGTTCCAATTGCAGCTTCTCCTTCCATTCTGCTAATGGACACTCTGGGAGGTAGCAGGTGATGACCCCAGTCTTTGAGGTCCCTTCACCCGTATGAAAGTGCTAGATGAAATTCTGGGCTGCTGGCTTTGGTCTGAACTCTCCCGGCTTATTATGGGCATTTGATGAGTGAACCACCGTATGGAAGATTTCTGACATTCTCAAGATGTCCAGTAACACTTTTTGTGACAGTGAAGATGCTCTCTGTGTGGTTCATTCTGATGGTCATGAGTTACATGTGAGGATTGGGCAGTGGAAATGTGACTAATACGACTGGGGGACTGAGTTTTCGATTTTACTCTATGTTCCAAAATCTCTCTTATTTAAAGAGATTTTAAATGTTTTCACCATGGGCCTGTCATGCTCTGCGATCTCATGTGGGCCCCAATTTGTATCCTAGCAGCCCCGCTTCCCTTCTAGCTCTCTGCTTGTGGCCTGGGAAGGCAGTTGAGGACGGCCCAAAGCCTTGGGACCCTGCACACATGCGGGAGATCTGGAAGAAGCTCCTGGCTCCTAGCTCCTAGCTTTGGATTGGCTCAGCTCCAGCCGTTGAAGCCATTTGGGGAGTGAACCAGCAGATGGAAGATCTTCCTCTCTTTCTTTCCCTCTCTCCATTATCTGTCCTGCTTTTCCAATAAAAATAAAATAAATCTTTTAAAAAACAAAATATGTTTTCACCACTCAAAAAGGATGGGAAGTGATAGGATTGATATAAACATCTTGATTTAACCACGCAGCAATGTAGACAGATGTCAAAATATCACATTGTTCCTTACAAATATACGCTATTATTGGTCTTTAAAGCAATATTAGCGGCAGGTGTTGTGGAACATCAGGTTAAGCCACCACTCGGGATGCCTGCATCCCAATATCACAGTACCGGTTCGAGATCCAGTTGCTCTGCTTCTGATCCAGCTCCCTCCTAATGTACCTGGGAAGGCAGCAGAAGATGGGCCAAGTGCTTGGGCCTCTGCCATCCATGTGGGAGATCAGGACAGTTGCAGGCTTGGGTCTGGCCCAGCTCTGACTGTTGAAGTCATTTTCGGAAATGAGTCACCACATGAAAAATCAATCTTTCTCTCTTTGTCCCTCTCTATCACTCTGCTTTTCAAATCAACTCATCTTTTGAAAAAGAAATAAATCTGACAGTTTTAAACTTTCAAAAGCAACTTAAAAGCCCCTGTGGCTACCACATAGGCCAGCATGGCTTTGGAGAACTGAGTAATACAGGATGGAAAGCACCCTGGCCTTGAGGAGTAGATGCCCAGCTCTCACAGGCTTCTCCCAAGACTACAGATGTTGTGCCCAATCCCTGCTCAGTGGCAGCTCTCTAGAAGCCACACCTAGCTTCCTTGCCCTTCTAACCTGGCACCGCAGCTCATCCTTACCTCTTTCTCTGCTTCTTTGAGCTCCGCTTCTTTCTCTTTGACTCTCTGCACGAACATCTGTCTCATCTCCTCTTCTTTCTTCTGCAGCTCCCCTAGGAACTCGTTCCGTTTGGCCTCATATGTCTCCTGTAAACTGCGAACAGGGTCAGGTTACTTTCTCTGTCTCCGCGATGGCTCCTTCCTATGGCATCAAAACTGGGTCCCAAGAATTTCCTTAGGGTGCCTCTGTCCTCCCTTCCCCTATTCCAAAAGTGTGCGCAACACCAGAATTAAAAGGGCAGCTGCCTTGGCACATGACACCAGGAGAAAGCTAGGACATCTGGCTCTGTAAATCTCAGTTAACAGAGGGGGAAACTGAGGTCCAGAGATATAAGATGACTTGCTCAAGACCACACAGCTCTTGGGGGGCAAAGCTGGGCTCAGCAACTGGGTCTCCTGACCCTTCTTCATCTTGGCCTTGCCCCCTGTACTGCACTACCAGGCGCAGGCTCTGAAACTGATTGTAGTTCGCTTGTTCAACAGACACTTGGTGGGAGTCCACCCCATGCTGAATGCTATGCTCCAACACTCAGCATCCAGAGCCATGGCTACTGTGCCCACCAATAAGGAACTCATGGACTAGTGGGAAAAGCCTGGGCTTAAAGCTCCCTGCTCCACTCTGGTTTCATTAGTTAAAGAAATAGGAATTAGACTGGTACAGAAGAGCCAGAATTGTGCTTCCAAAGAAAGCAGCCTGAGTAACAGCACAAGTGGAGAGAGAATAGAACACTTGGAGAACCAGTACACTTCAGTATGGCTAGAGGGTGTTGTGAAAGCTGCAGAGTAGGGAAAGGCGAGGTTTCTGGGTCTAGCTAGAAAAGCAGACACTGGAGACCGTATTAAAGAATTGGGAGGCTGGTACTGTGGCCCAGTGGTAAAGGCTGTTGCCTGTGATGCTGGCATCCCATATGGATGCTGGCTACTGGATTTGGATTGGTTCAGCTCTGGCCATTGTGGCCATTTGGGGAATAAACCAGTGGATGGAAGATCTCTCTCTCTCTCTCTCTCTCTCTCCTTTTCTTTCTGTAACTCTGCATTTCAAACAAAAATACGATATATCTTTTAAAAACATGCATTCATACATCAGGATTTCTTGCTTTGATACTTTGCTCTAGTTTCGGGATTCCTCTAATTTAGACCTTAGGAAGCAGCAGCCCAAATGATTCAGTTGCCTCCCCCCATCTGGGAAACCTGAATAGAGTTACCAGCTCCTGACTTCAGTCTGGCTCAGCCCCTTCTGTTGCCAGCATCTGGGGTGTGAACCAGTGGATGGGAGCTATCTCAGGGACTCTCAAAATTTTCAAATGTAAGGGTGTTGGCACTGTGGCACAGTGGGTTGAGCTGCTGCTTGTGATACTCTTATGCTGAAGTAGGAGTTTGAGTTCCAGTTTTTTCACTTCTGCTCCAGCTCCCTGCTGATACATCTGGCAGAGCAGGAGAGGATGGCCCAGGTGCTTGGGCTCCTGCCATTCATGGGGTGTGGGCGGTTGGAGTTCTTGGCTCCTTTTTTCACCTGGCCCAGCCTAGGCCATTGCAGCCATTTGGGAGAGTTGAACCAGTAGATGGAATATTTCTTCCTTTCTTTTTCAAATGAATAAATACTTCTAAAACTTAAAAACTGTATGTATACTGAACAGTTTAGACTTTTTCCTTTTTAAGGATTTTATTTTTATTTGAAGTATAGAGTCACAGAGACATCTTTCATCTGCTGGTTTGCTTCCCAAGTGTTGCCAATGCTTGAGATGGACTGATCCAACAAAACCAGGATCCAGGAGCCTCCTCTGGGTCTCCCACTTGGGTGCTATAGCTTTGAGACATCCTCCACTGCTTTCCCAGGCCAGCCAGGACATGAACCAGCATCTATACAGGATGCTGGCACCGTAGGCAGAAGCCTAGCCTACTATGCCATGGTGTGACTCCCTGACTTTTTCTTGTCCTTATTCTCCAAACAAGCACTTACATTAGCATTTGTATTGCGTTAGGTATTAATGCATAATATGTGCATGATCTAAAAGATATAAGAATGTGGGCATCCAGGGCCCGGCAGTGTGGCCTAGCGGCTAAAGTCCTCACCTTGAACACGCTGGGATCCCATATGAGCGCCGGTTCTAATCCCGGCTGCTCCACTTCCCATCTAGCTCCCTGCTTGTGGCCTGGGAAAGCAGTTGAGGACGGCCCAAAGTCTTGGGACCCTGCACCCGTGTGGGATACCTGGAAGAAGTTCCTGGATCTTGGCTTCGGATCGGCATAGCATCAGCCATTGCACTCACTTGGGGAGTGAATCATCAAATGGAAGATCTTCCTCTCTGTCTCTCCTCCTCTCTGTATATCTGACTTTCCAATAAATAAATAAATCTTAAAAAAAAAAGAATATGTGCACAAGCTATAGGCAAATAGTATTATAGTTATAGCCATGATAAAGAAAGGGCCAGGACATTTGCAGATTTTGGGATCTATGGGAAAGGGTCCAATCCCTGCCTCCACCCACCTCCTCCCAGCCCCAGATACTGAGGAAATGACTGCTTAAAATAACTTCCTCCTTCCCAAGGGTGCCACACCTGTCAATAGGGCAGGGCTGGCAAGAAAGGGCATAATTAAGGGAACATTTCTACAGGATAAGAACAGTTATATGCAACATGGAAACAGAGGCCTTGGCATGGAAGGGAGGCAACCACGTGGCCAGGGAGAAGCACATCTTCTCTTCCACAAAACGCACACAGAAAAAAATAGCTGCTGGAGAGGAAGGAGAGAAAAAGCCATGGTGGCTCCCACAAGACAGAGTCAAGCCTGCCTCACTCCAAGCTCAGCAACTCCAGTGGACACTGTCCCTGCCTGCCTGGGAGCAAAGCTGTTTGTCCTCAAGCAGGCAAGCCCCCAAAGGACTGGCTTGCTAGGCCAGAGGCCAGCTCTCCACTGCAACAGCTCTCTGGGATCTGCAAGACCGCTGGAAGACCTCTTCACCCACAAACATCCCTCTCACTTGCTTAGCGATGCCCTGTGGTTTCCAAGAGCTGGAAGGACAAGCCACAAAGAAGGAGAGCGCATGGTCATTTACAATCCAAGGCTGACATCACACATCATGCACACAGATCAGCCACTTCCACTTGGTCTATCACTCTCACCACATACTAGATTGCTTTTAGGACATTCTTGGAAAGCATCTTAGATTCTGATTTAAGAAATATGCCAATGATCCTTAGCATCCCATGATCAAAACAAAATTTACACTTGAACTTACAAACGTTAAGGACGGGGAATGAAGAGGTTGCAGTTTATCAACACATGTAACTATCTCAGAGCAGCACCACGGTAACCCGGCTCCCCTGAAACAGTGGAGAGAGCTAGTGGAACTGGCAGGTGTATTTCCCCTCCTCCTCCAGTCATAGCCTCCATCTTTTGCTTCCCCTGCGAATTCTACACCAGACTGGTTGGTTGGGCTGGGCTGGGCTGGTGTGAGCAGTACCTGAAGGGTTTGCTGTCAGGGTCGGTGTCCTTGAAGCCCATCTCCTCCAGCTTACAGCGGCGATACAGCTCGTAGTGCCTGGTGTGGGTTTGCTCCCGCAGATCCTCCATGTTGACCCGAATCAGCATCTCCCGCAGCTTCACAAAGTCGCAGTGGGCCTCATTCTCAACTGCACAGCAGGAGTGGGGGATTGAAAGCAAAGCCAGCAGAGGCAAAAATGGACACAAAAGAGAGGCAGGATGTCTAACAATGATATCATTTTGTAACCTGGGTACACAGAGCATTGCAAAGGTGTCTCCTAATTCGCCTTTATATTGAAAAGGCAAATGAAAAGTTAGAACAATGGCAGCAGTTAAAACTATCAATACCATAAAACCAAGAAGACGCCCATAGTGCTGCAACCCAAAGGCATATTTGCTCTGCATGACTTTGTGGACAATTGCATAGGCACATCCAGCCAGTCAGATCGTCAACACGTATTTGTGGAATCTCTGCTCCCAGGAATGTAGAAGGCACTGGAAATTTAAAAATGAATCATGGAGTCTTGCCCTTGGCAATTTACAGCTTAGTAGAAAAACAGATGTAAATAGACAAATATAATGAACAAATTACAAAAATGGAGTTCTAATCATCCTCACAATGAAAGCTTAGAAGAGGTAAGGTTTAAGAACTCCTTGGGGGTCCCCACAATGACTCAGTGGCTAAATCTTTGCCTTGCATGTGCCAGCATCCCATGTGGGCACTGGATCATGTCCTGGCTGCTCTGATTCCCATCCAGCTCCATGCTTGTGGCTTGGGAAAGCAATAAAGGATGGCTCAAAGCCTTGGGCCCCTTCAGCCTTTTAGGTGGCCTGGAAGAGGCTCCTGGCTCCTAGTTCTTGACTTCCGATCAGTTCAGCTCAGCTCTGATCATTGCAGCCATTTGGGGAGTGACTCGGTAGTGAAATAGCTCTCCTTCTCTGTACATCTGCCTTTCCAATAAAAATAAAATGAATCTTAAAAAAAAAAATCCTTGGGGAGGGACAGCTTTACAACGAAACCATTCCTAAGATGACTCTAGAAGGAAGACTAGCAATTTATCCAGCACAGAAAGGAACACTCCTTGGAAGTTCTCAATGGGGCGAGGGGTTGACCAAGGCACATAGCTAGCAAGCCGCAGAGTCAGGACTCAAACTCAGGCAATGTAGGGAAGAAGCACAGGCTACAAAAAAGGGTATAGTGACGGTATTTATAGATGATGGTGACAAGGAGGGATATGATCCAAAGGTGTGGTCCTTCTACATGGTAAAAGCTTCCAAGGTGTGTTGTAGGGGGTGGCTAATGGCCTGATAGCAGCAATAGTGAGCAGGAGAAAGTGGTCCCCACTTTCTGGCCTGAGTGAACAGGCTCCCTCTTTGAGAGAATGTGGCAAAGTTCTGCATCCGGGGCAGCGTCTGAGCATGACAGAGATGTGGACCGAGTCATAGCAAGGCAAGTTTTCAGCCAGAACAGAAGGAGATCATGAGCAGTGTGCTCTGTCTGTGTCTGCAGAGGCATGACTCCTCTGTGTGGGAAGGGGGTATATGGCCTGACTGTGTAGGACCAGTGGAGTTTGAGATGATGAGCACATCCAGTCACTCCAGATTCGATCCTGCAAGGTCTAGGTGAGGGTGATAGAGTAGAGAAGGGGTTCTGGGATCCAGGATCAAGTAGAGTAGTGGTAGACTAGTGGTCAGCAGTCATGTTCCCAAAGCACAACCTGACTCACATAACCCTTGTGCTTAAGAACTAACACATAGCGATAAAGCCCCGGGCCATCTGAGAATGCAAGATAACTTGTGTGGACTATGTGTGCTCTGTGACACCTGCACACCCATCTCTGGACAGTGACACCTAAGGGTCAGTGAGAAGACGGGCGAGTCCAACGCCCCTGCACGCTGCCCAAGTGATGCACAACTTCTTCCCCATTCAGGCCCAATAGTCAACTTAGACTCACAACAAAAACTTTCCAAAGGCCCCTTTTTGGGGTTGGATACAGGGAAGTTCAAGTTGGAGGAAATAACTCATCAGAATTATGCCTGCTGGGTTCTCTTCCTCTCATCTCAGATTCTTGTCTCCTAGAACCCAATGTTATCCCAGGGTGAAGCCATTGCTGCAGAAACTATTTGTAAGTGTCTCTAGTGGAGCATCCCCAGCCCCAAATGGCAGAGAAGACAACTTAGCATGATTCTACTAGTCAGTCTGGTTCTATCTATTGAACATCCAATGGGTCTATAGTGTACCCTAAAACACAGCACCACTCTTGGTATGTGATGTGGCTCTCTCACCATTCCCAGTTGGTGTTTACCCAGTGTTCGGGAAAAGCTTATAGAGAAGCCACCATGCTCTTACCCGGTGCCAGTTTATAGTTGCAGACTCTGAGGCCCAGAGATCCTCTCCCACCCATGGTCTAGGTCCTGTCTTAGTCACTGAACCAACCAGTCTTGAGGGTAATTGAACACGTGTCACACAGACCACAAAAGGAACATTCCTGAGTGTTTATACACTATGCCTGAGATTTTTTTTTCCAAAAAATTATGAAATAATCATACATAAAAAGACTGTATGAAATGTGTGTGAGGAGATTTAAAGGTCCGGGGACAAAGGAATTCAAATATAAATTTGAGGCCTGGTGTTGACGGCTCATCAGGTTAAGCCACTACTTGCAACACTGGCACCCCACAATGCCAGTTTTTGTGCCAGTGACTCTGCTGTCAATCAGCTCCCTGTTTAATGCATCTGGGAAGTCAGCAGGGGTTACCGCGATCGAGACCTGCTTGGAGTTCCAAGCTTGTGGCTGTTGTGACCATTTAAGGAGTAAATCGTGGATAGAAGTTATGTCTCTCTCTTCACTCTGCTTTTGAAACATATTTTCAAAAAAATTTACTTGGGGGCCTGGCGTAGTAGTCTGGTGGCTGAAGTCCTTGGATCACATGTGCCAGGATCCCATATGGGCGCCAGTTCTAATTCCAGTAGCCCCACTTCCCATTCAGTTCCTGCCTGTAGCCTGGGAAAGCAGTCGAGGACGGCCCAAAGCTTTTGGACCCTGCACCCATGTGGGAGATCTGGAGGAGGCTACGGGCTCCTGGCTTCGGATTGGCGTAGCTCTGGTCGTTGTGGCCACTTGGGGATTGAGTCAGTGGACTTTCTGTCTCTCCTCTCTGTGTATCTGCCTTTCCAATAAAACTAAATAAATCTTTAAAAAATATTATTTGGATATAAAATATTTTTGAAATTTTTTTGTTTTCATACTATACATCATTCATGAACTTTTTAAGAGACTCTTTGTATGTTCAGTTTAAAGAACATAATAATCATAATAATAAACCCTAATACCAGTATTTCACAACCCAAGTTAAATAGTAGCAGAAGGTTGAAAACTGCAGTATGCCCCTTCACAGTGTTAGGCCTCCTAGCCCTCCTCCATGCCCTCTGGCAAGGACACCCACTGTCCTGGCTTTGTGCTTTCATTCCTTTGTCTTCTTTACAGTCTTACCAGTGTGTCTCTGAAAGTGTATCCCTCGGCCACTGTTGCCTACTTTCAGAATTCACATCAACGTGCCCTACAGTATGTACTCTCTGATTGACTTAGCTTTGCTGTAATTTCTTCCTTTTTTGTTTTTTTTTTTAAGATTTATTAATTTTTATTGGAAAGTCAGATATACAGAAAGAAGGAAAGACAGAGGGGAAGATCTTCCGTCCGTTGATTCACTCCCCAAGTAACCACAATGGCTCGAGCTGAGCCAATCCAAAGCCAGGAGCCAGGAGCTTCTTTCAGGTCTCCCACATGGGTGCAGGGTCCCAAGGCTTTGGGCTGTCTTTGACTGTTTTCCTAGGCCACAGGCAGGGAGCTGGATGGGAAGTGGGGCCACCGGGTTTAGAACCGGTGCCCATATGGGATTCTGGCGTGTTCAAGGCGAGGACTTCAGCCACTACGCCACCACATCAGGCCCAGCAGTGCATTTCTGAGGCTCATTCGTGGAGATGTAACTGTAGCTCACTCATTTTTTCCTTTTTTCACTTCTGTGTAACACCTCATTACATGAATGCTTCAGCACAAACAATACTGCTGAAAACATCCGGGTGCTCAGATTTATTTATTTATTGGGCAGGTGTGCACACTTTTTTTGCTTTCCTAACCTGGCTTTTGTTTTCGGAGGGCTTTTGCCATTAAAGACAAAAGGAGTATGTTTACTTCAGAGAATCCAGGTAGGGAGTTGAGAGCTTGCTAGCGCCCCCCAGTGGCTGTTTGAGATGAAAGCTGAATGAACGGAGACTGGGGGCAACTTAGAGATTTGTCATAGTTAGTGGCTGGGGACAAAAATAGAGACAGAGGGGCTCCCTTCTCACTTACCCTGCACTGTGCCCCAAGGGTACTGTCGTGCCTTCATCATCTTGTTGCCTATTTTCAGTTCTTCTGTGCTACCGATGACCGCAAACGGCAGGTGGGCCTGAAACAGAACAAACAAAAGCTTGGAATTGAAGAGAAAGGCACTGAGCAGTCCCTAGTCCCCAGGGCCTCTGCAGTGGCCCTCACTCTCACCATTACCAAACTCCCGAGGTCTGCGTCTGTGTGTGAGAGTGTGTAATGTGGCATTGGATCAGAGGCCTCCTCGTTCAAGCTTCTGCTGCTTAGAAACCCCCAACAGAAGCCCACAACAACATGGCCCAATGCACAGGGCATGGAGAAATGAGCAGAGCAACCAATTTGCAAGCTGTCCACTTTCCCCAGCTGCTGTTGAGGGGAAAGCCTTCAGGAGGCGAATGAGCAGGACTGAGGGCATTATATGAGACAGAGGGTGAAGGAAAAGCAAATGGCTAGACTCACTGGCCCCCTGCCCCTTTCCCAGAGTGTAGGACTTGTCCTAGCTGTGCTTGGCTCTGCTTGATCAAAGACGTATAAGCCTACTCCCCCAGCCTCCAGCAGCTCTCTCACATTGAGACAGTCACAATCACCCACCCTGCATAACGAAACACTGCAGCCATGGGCTCCGATGTAGGATCTGGTGCCTTGCACACCGTAGGGGCTTATGAACTAGTCCTTTAATGTCAGTGCACCCACCAGAAGAGAGGAAAGAATGGCCCGCAAGGGAAATGAGGTCCAGAGCCTGCCTGACAAGAGGGCTGTGTGGTCAAAGGGGGGAGCTGTCCCCATTTGGGAGTGAGAGGCCTAGGAAACCCTCACAGTATAAGTAGGGCTTATCCAAGTCCAGGTATCAGTCCACTGGAACAGGCTTGCTCAGTCTCCTCGGGGAAAGAGACCACCATCTCACAGATTCTGACGCATTCATATATTTGTTCAGTTCACAAGCATGTAGCTCCTACTATGTGGTAGGCACTAATGGAAATACGATGGTGAAAAAGCAGAGGACCTTTCCCCAGAGAGCACTAGTCCACTGGAGGGAAAGAAACCCCAACAAGACCATAACAAGGGAACTCAAAGTGGGGAGAGGGGAGATAACCAATTCCACAGGAAGGTAGAGGAAGCATTGCAGAGTAGGTGGTAACAATGCTAACAGCATCATCACTGGTAGAACTAGTAGCAGCAACAGGTTAGGCACATGAAGCTATTATAAACAGCATGTAGCAGGTGCATTATCTCTTTGAATCTTCACAACACGATCAAGTGGGTATTCTTATCACTTTCCTTTTGTAGATGAGGAAACACGGCCAGAAGTGCTCGGTGACTTGCCAATAGGCACATAATGGTAAGAGACAGAGCTTGGCAGGAAATTTGGGTCTCTGACCTTAGAGATCTGCTGGCCCATGTATAGGATATGCACAGCAGAGTCAGTGAGTAGGCTGAGCCCCGTGCCAGGCCAGACCGTAAGGGGTAGTTGACTGCTGGGAACTCCACAGTCAATCTGTTGTTTGCTCAGTTGGCCTGATCTCATAGGCCCATGCTCTTCCTTGCCATTCATTGCTAGCTCTGGACCCCAAGAAGGTTCTTCAGAGCAGAACACAGGATTTCATCTGGAGTGCAGCCCCAGTACAACTACGGATCCCTCCAGGGCCTTGGCCGAAGCTGCTCCACCTTCACTCTCCTTTCTCAGCTACTTGCAGATGATCATCTGCAGCCCTTTCCCCATCCCTTCCAGTCCACTGACTGTCCCTAAAATAGGGACATGGAAAAGAGGGCATCGGGAAGCTATGGCTATGAAAGGTGGATGTGGAACATGTCAGCCCTAATAGAATGACCAACGGGGAAATCAGGCAAGTGACACACAAGGCATTTGGAGAGCCCTAAATTGTTGTCAACACTGCCCAATGGCCTGAGCATCTCCATGGTGACCAGCTGGCTCTGGAAGGTCACACTCAGGGACTTCAGACATGCCAGAAGCCTCAACACCACCTTCCAGCACTTTCCAGGAAAGTGAGTCCCCTGCAGAGATGCCGAAGCTACAGGGACATGACACACAGGAGCTGCGGTGCAGTGACTTCAGAGGCTAGACTAAGGGAGGAGGCGAGAAAGGGCAACCATGCCCTGCTTGAAGCCAGAAATGATGGAGGAAGATGTGTGAAGTGAGAGGTACTTTTTCTCTGGACTCTGGACAAAGCGAAGAAAAAAAGAAAAAACACCTAAGGAGGGAATAAAGGTATAATACATGCAATCTTCCATGGGGCCTACTATTTTTCTGCCAACTGCTATTGCCCATTCGAAAGACAGGGTTGCTTGCATCCCGTCTTCCTCAAATGGCTGGCACTGGATCCCTGGAGCTCTTCCCCACTCTCAGACACACAGCCCACACCAAGCCAGCCTCAGAGGCCTCCCAAGACCTCCCACAGCACACTACATCGCCACTGGCCTCAGCGACTATTCTGCTAAGCATATGCAAGGGGAGTATTTCCCCCGACATTCCTGTTTTGTTTGCTTCTAAGAATAGCCTAGAGGGTTGTGATTATAGACCCCATTCGTGATTTGGAGGCATTGGGACACAAAAGAGTTAAATGAGTCACCCCCCCACCCCGACCCAGTTCCTAACCTCAGGCCCAATTCTTGACAGGGAGGAGTGTGACCCACCCACCATACAGTGGCTGCCTGACTCTCCCAGGCACCCAGGACTGACCTGACCTCTGCTTCATTGTGAACCGTCATCTATAGGAAGTGAGCTAACTGTGACAGGCAAGAAGTTATGGGGACTAGGGTCTAGATGCATGTCATGCTGCCCTGGAGAGACAGATGGCTGCAATACCCAGAAAGGAGATGAGCAGAGCAGGGAAGAGATATACCTTCCAATCATACTCCCAGCTCCCACCCATGCCATCCGAGTCTGAGGCCAGGCTTTCTGCTTGCATTTTTTTTAAAGCCAGGTCCTTGCAAGTGAATGACAGAAGTCACATTATCATAGGAGTAGGTCCAGAGAGGAGACTGATGCAAGGTGGTATTGCTGCTGACACAGGCTCCTGGAGGGGAGAGACTCTATGGAATGCTCTCACTCTGGCCTCCCAGGGAGGGGCCTGCCTGTCAGGTCTCCCAGCCCCAGAAAACCCCAAAGGTGGTCTCAGACCCACCCTTCGGAAGGTGTGCTCAGATTCAGTATGCGTCTGCATCTGTTTGATGCTACTACAACAAAATAACTGAAGCTGGGCAATTTATAAAGAACACCAGTGTATTTCTCATGGTCCTGGAGGTTAGGAAGTTCAAAAGCAAGGTGCCAGCATTCGGTCTGGGCTGCATACTCACATGGCAAAAGGCAGATTGGCAAGCTAACCGAAGCCTCTTTTTTTCCCCTTGAGTTTGAAAGGTGGAGTGAGGGGAGATCTTTCATCCACTAGTGTACTCCCTCAAATCTCACAACAGTCAGAGTTGGTGCAGGTTGAAGCCAGGAGCCCAGCACTACATCTGTGTCTTGCACATGGGTGGCAGGGACCCAATCCCTTGAGATGGCATCTGTTGCCTCCCAGGGTAGGGAGAATGGATGGAATGAGGCAGAATGGAAGTGGAGGCACAACTCAATCCCAGGCATTCCAATATGGATGTGGGCACCCCAAGCAGCAGCTTCACTGCCGCCCCAAGCACCTGTGCCTGATGCTCCTTTTAGAAAGCTTTCATACCTCCTGACAAGGAAGCGGCCCTCACAGGCTGATCGTCACATCTCAATGCCATCACGTGGCTGCCACCTGAAGCTTAAAGGAATATATTCAAACCCCAGTACTCCCTTTTACTGTCCTGTGTCTATCTTAAACTCCTCTTGATCCACTTAAAAGTGCTCCATGGTCTTCTTGGCATGATTTATTTGATTCTCCTACTATACCCATCAGGTCTGTGAGGCTGGGTGACTGTTCTGTTGAGCCCGGTGAAGGCTATCAGGACCCTCTACTCCTCTTCGGATGACAGCATCCTGATGGGGCCTTGGCTTCCTCCTAGGGTGGACAAGTGCTTCCCTGCTGTAGTCATCCCTTTTTCAGGCTCCTAGCTGTAGAGCTGGAGGGAGGATAATCAGTTTCTGACAAAGACCGCTGCCCAATTTGTTTTTTTTTTAGAAGATTTATTTTTAATTTTTATTGGAAAGGCGGGTATACAGAGAGGAGAGACAGAGAGGAAGATCTTCCGTCCGATGATTCACTCCCCAAGTGAGCGCAACGGGCCGATACTCTGCCGATCCAAAGCCAGGAGCCTCTTCCGGGTCTCCCACGCGGGTGCAGGGTCCCAAGGCTTTGGGCCATCCTCGACTGCTCTCCCAGGCCACAGGCAGGGAGCTGGAAGGGAAGCGGGGCTGCCGGGATAGAACCGGCGCCCATATGGGATCCCGGGCATGCAAGGGAAGGACCTTAACCACTTGCGCCACCACACCGGGCCCCCCAATTTGCTTTCTAATCAACCCTTTGCGATTCCTCCAAAAGGATAGATGGCTCCTTGACTGACAATAGGGTGAAGTCCCGTTAGGCCAATCCTAAGCTGGAAATGCATTTGAACCCACCTAAGCTATGACACACCCTTACTGAGCAACATGGGACACTATTAGAACCTCGCCTGTTGCCCTGGTGATTGTGACACTGACAGGGAGCTATGGCTGCTGTCACTGTCCAGCATTGCAAGATAGGATGATACTGCACACTGCTAGCCCAGGAAAGATACAAGCTCAGATTCTGAAGTTATGCTTTCCACTGAATACATATCCCTAGAAAAACCATTAAGGTAAACCATTGTAAGTTGCAGGAGTGGGGGGAAGGGCCGGGTAGCATTTGCACATGCAAACAGTCAAAATAATACTACTGTCTCAAGAAAAGGGATAGACTTGTATCTGGGGTCTCCCTGCACCCTCAAAAATGATCAGCCATGTGCTCTGTGCTCTCACTGGACCCAAATGCCTTTTGTGCACAGTCAACTCCAAGAACTCAAAAATAGCTTAGTTAGGGACTGAAGCAGTGACATGACACGTTAATCCTCTGCTTGCCGGTGCCAGCATTCCATATAGGCACCAGTTTGTGTCTCAGGTACTTCACTTCCAATCAGTCTCCGTGCTTATGGCCTGGGAAAGCAGTAGAGATGGCTCAGGTTCTTGGGCCTCTGCACCCATGTGGGAACCCTGGAAGAAGCTCCTGGCTTCAGATCAGCCCAGCTCTGACTACTGTAGCCACTTGGGGAGTAAGCCAATGGATGGAAGATCTCTGTCTCTTCCTCTCTGTGTAAATCTAATTTTCAAAGAACAATAAATAAATTGTTAAAAAATGATAGCTTAGTTGAATAATTGGGCTTACTTCTGTTCCCTGGCATGATTTGAGTCATTCAGAGAGTAGCTTTAAATTTAAATAGCTTATCAATTTTTAATATTAAAATCTATACCTTCAGAGAGGTATAGATCGTGGGTTATAAGCAAACAGCATGCAAGAAACTCTCTCTCCTTTGTCCTACCCACCTCTTCTCTCATCTGAAATAAGATTTTTGCTGAGTCATTCCTAAGCACAGTGGGAGGCTGTGATTTCACTGCTCACATTTCTTGCCATAAAATCTAGTGGTAAGGGCAGGTGATTGGCCAAGTGGCTAAGCTGCCAGTCGGCAAGCCTGTGTCCCACAGAGGAGAGCTTGGGTCTGAGTTCAAGCTCCAGCTCCTGACTCTAGTTTCTGTTAATGTACACCCTGGGAGGCAGCTCAAGTGACTGGGTCTCTGCTACCCAAGCAGAAAACCTAGGTTGAGTACTCAGTTTTTAGTTTCAGCCTGGTCCAGTCCTGGTTGTGTTTGGGGGAGTGAACCCTCTCTCTGTGTGTCTGTCACTGTGTCATAACTAAGTCAATCTTAGTGGTGAATAATGAAATAGCTGCATAAACTTCACTTGGGCAACAGACTTCTCAAACCTCTTCCAATCTAGTTCCCATTATGACTGGTTGGGATGGCTGAAGCTGTGGAGCTGGAGTATAGTCCAGAATTGAAAGGCCCATTTTTCCTACCACCCAAGCCTAGGTCTCTCGTGATGTAATCTCACACATCATGGTTTGTCTGAAGATCCTGAGAGTTTCCTTTCTTTTAAAGATTTATTTATTTGAAATGAAGAGTTAGAGAGGGGAACACACACACAAAACTTCCATCTGCTAGTTCACTCCCCAAAAGGCTGTAACAGCCAGAACTGGGCCATGTTGAAGCAAGGAGCTTCTTTCAGGTCACCTATGCGGGTGACAGCGGCTCAAGTAGTTGGGACATTCTCTGTAGCTTTTCCAAGAGTATTAACAAGGAGTTGGATTGGCATGGGAGCAACCAGGACTCAAACCAGCCTCCTTATGGGCTGACAGCATTGCTGTAGGCTATAGTTTAATGCACTGAGCCATAATGTCAACCCCAAATTCTGGGAACTTTTGACACAACTGTTGTGGTAGCAAGCAGGCTTAAGAATCCCATGTTTGTGTTATACAGCAGTGACTCCTCAGCCTTTGCCCATCACAGCTCATATAATGTGGAGCATTCGCAGGCTGACTCCTTCCACAGCTATGTTTGATTGCAGGCACACTAGCAATGATGGCCCTGTTCTCTTTCCCACTCATAAAACTGTGGCAAACTACAAAGAAGTGAGTGGTGAGTGATGTCACTACAGGCATAACACTGAATCCACTTGAATTGCATTTTTCAAAATAAAACACAGGAAAATTAGGAAGAGTCACAAAGAACCACACAACCTTATCCCAATCTTAACAGCACGGTGGAGAGTAGCTGCTTCAAAGTATAGATGGTGTCCAGCCTGGAGAATGAGCATGCCAGAGGCTCCAACAGGAGGCCAGAGTTGAGCTGGGAACAGAGCCCAGTGTGGCTGTCACTCCTAATCCACAGTTAGGTGACTTGCAGTTCTGTGTGACATCTTGAGGGTCCTGAGAACTCTTAGTTCTTATTTCTTCTCAGCAAAGCCAACCGCAAGCTACAAAGCTGTTTGCTGACCTAGACAATCCATGGGCCAGATCTCTATGGGGGACACCTAGATGACACTTGTCCCCAAGCCTCCCTTTTGCTGCAGCCTAGCACCCTTGCAGACTATCTCATCAGAATGCCCTGGCTGCTCATGAGGACAAGCACTCAGCTTCCCCCCCCCCCCCCACTGCTTTTGTCAATACCCACAGCCAATCATGGAGGATACAGCTCCACCTTCCAAAATCCCCTTAGCCTCACCCTTGAGCCCAACTTGTCAAAGATGATGACAGACTTCTAATAACAAACATCTCTTGACTGTGCTGACAGGCAGGAAGCCAGGCGAGACAATCCCTTGCCGTGCTGCTGTGCTGATGTGTTGGCCAGTTTCTAGGAGGTGATTACAGCCCAATGCCGTAATGACAATTGAGAGGGCAGAGCGGTGGCAGAAAAGTTTTCTAAAAATGGCTTTTATTATGAGGCTTTCCTGAGTTTGGCTCTACCCAGGCATTATGTCATTAGGAAAAACTGATGCCTCTCAATAGAGAACAAGAAGTCTGCGCCCAAAGCAGAGGCTTTCTGAAAGCTAATAGCTGTCTCCTTGAGATCACAACATTGAATGTTTCACAGCGACAGCATCAACACTTTGTAAAGGCGCACGAGCACATGTTTGCCTCTTTTATTACTCATTCTTCTAGGAGGGGGTGGGAGAAGCCACCCGGTTGTGTTATTCATTCACTCCTAATAAAACAGAGCAGAGCCCTAACATTTAAAAAGAACGTCTCTCTAGGCAGCACGAAGTTGGGGTCTATCCATCAGGTTAAACTCTTGGGGCAGAGGGCCTGGTGATCTGAATGCAGACTGGCACTGAGCCCACTTGGCAGTCTTTCCTGTCTTTACTGCACCACGCATTCTGGTGTTGTTTTGATCAGAGACACAGACTATTGCCTGCAGATCCATGGGGTCTCCCTGGCCTAGTGGAATCACAGAAGGATCCAGGAGATGGGTAAAAGGAGGGGGTTTCATTTCCCTGCTTTGTACTCTTCCCAGAGCTGGCCTCTGCCATCCCTTATTCTCTGGCAAGCCATCACTGCACCTATGAGGCTTAGCAATGGCCAGCACCCAGAAAGAAGTGATGTCTTGGATCCGGCTCCTGCCACCAATACCTGAGGCTTGATCCTTTAAGGGTCAGCTACATGAAGATATACAGAGAACATGCTGCACTGCTAATGTGTAAAATTATAGCCATAAAGAGAAAATGATTGGCAACTGCTTAGGTTGCCTTGCACCTAGGTAAGTGTTACACTGCTGGGAGAAAACCAGCCAATAGCTGATGGGCATGCTGGGCCTGGTTAACACAGGCTGCTGGGCCTGGTTATGGTTAATCTGTGGGACCCTGCACCCGTGTGGGAGACCAGGAAGAAGTTCCTGGATCCTGGCTTTGGATCAGCATAGTATCGGCCGTTGCGCTCACTTGGGGAGTGAATCATCGGACGGAAGACCTTCCTCTCTGTCTCTCCTCCTCTGTATATCTGACTTCCCAATAAATAAACAAATCTTTAAAAAAAAAATAAGGTATGTGGGTAAGGTAGGGAACTCTGGGCTGGGACACACCACCCCATCCCCCAAGTGGGGGAACTCCAGCAAGTGACAGGCTGAACCTTCTTCCTGCAGACACAGGATGAAAAAAAACGAAACATTTATCCCACTCACCTTCCTCTATACCTGTCCTTCCCTACCATAATTGGAGACTCACACAGGTGTGCATCCCTCTCAACTATGTAAACAATATTAAAAATAAAATAATATTTGTTAAAAAGAGAAAATAATCACAGAGTTGAACAACCCCCACCTCAACTGCCCTACTCCCACTCACATTCATGGTTCCATTGATCTCTGCCACCGACTCATCATCCGTAGGGAACTGATAGATCTGGACTCCGTTGCTGACAAGTTCACTGGTGATTTTGATTTTGAATTTCGTGAGCTCACTCTTAGATATGGCATCTGATTTGGCAATTATGGGGATGATGTTGACCTAGGGAAAGAAGGAACAAGATGGGGTCACTGGTGGCAACTTGCAAGTGATGGCAGTATGACCTAGGACTCTCCAAGAAGTTGATCCCAGTTGTTTAGGATGACTACCTCTGCCGCCAAACAACACTACCATCACTAGAAACGAAGGAGATTTACCTATCATGTGCTGGGTACTAAACCAAGTATTTTAAATGAATTAACCCAATTAATCCTGAGAGATTAATATCCAGGAAAAATGATTACTGTTATCGTACCAATGAGAAGTTGAGGCATTGAGAGGTTCAGTAACTTGTCCAAGGACAAAGAGCAGGCAAACAGAAGAACCAGGATTGAAATCCAAATTTACTGGGCCTAGTGTGATGGCTCAATGGCTAATTCTCCACTTTCAAGAGCCAGCATCCCATATGGGCTCTGATTTGTGTCCCAGCTGCTCCTCCTCCTATCTGGCTCCCTGCTTATAGCCTTTTTTAAGATTTTATTCATTTATTTTTTAAAGATTTATTTATTTTTATTGGAAAGTCAGATATATAGAGAGGAGAAGACAGAGAAGATCTTCCAGCTGATGGTTCATACCCCAAATGGCCGCAATGGCTGGAGCTGAACCAATCCAAAGCCAGAAGCCCAGAGCCTCTTTCAGGTCTCCCACACAGGTGCAGGGTCTCAAGGCTTTGGGCCGTCCTCTACTGCTTTCCCAGGCCGCAAGCAGGGAGCTGGATGGGAAGTGGGGCCGCTGGGACTAGAATCAGTGCCCATATGGGATCCTGGCATGTTCAAGGTGAGGACTTTAGCTGCTAGGCTACCATGCCGGGCCCAAGATTTTATTTATTTTTATTGGAAAGTCAGATTTATAGACAAAAGGAGAGACAGAGATAAAGATTTTCCATCTGCTGATTCTCTCCCTAAGTAGTTGCAGTGGCTGGAGCTGAGCCAATCTGAAGCCAAGAGCCAGGTGTTTCTTCTGAGTCTCCTATGTGAGTACAGGGTCTCAAGGACTTGGGCCATTCTTGACTCTTTCTCAGGCCACAAGCAGGGAGCTGGATGGGAAGTGGAGCAGCCAGGACACAATTCGGTGTTCATATCGGATGCTGCATGGGTGGAGGTTTAGGCCACTACATCACCATGTTGGGCCCCAAATTTCATATAGCAGGAGAGAGACTATTACTCCCAAGTTTATCCCACCTGAGACTAGATATTTAAATCTCCTTCAAGGAAGGACAAAGCTTTTACTGTCTCAAGGCGAAGAAACTTGGCATGCATCTGGCCATGTGAGACAGAGCATAGAGAAGTTCTGATCTGCACGGGGAGCAAAGTGTTTCCTGGCAGCTGACCCCTGTGGGGCAGCATGGAAGGTGCTCAGGTCATGCGTTCTGAAAGGGATGGGGGACTGGAATGACAAGTCTAGGGGTGATCCTAAAGGTTGATAGCACACAGGACTCCTGAGATGCATTAGAGGAAGAATGGCTCCTGGAGGCATTCCTTGGAAGTCTCTGGGGACTAGTGGCAGGGTCAAAGCCCTTGCCAAGGTGGAACTGTGGACAAAGCCAATCCTCCTTGTCACTTTCTCCCAAATCCCCACTGGTACACTATTCACAGATGCCAGAGGCCTTTTACTGCCCCCCGCCTACCCACCAGGCTGTCAGCAGCACGGCTTACTGCTGCTGTGTGCGGGGCATTTGGAGCATTATAACATTTCAAGAGCAGCCTGGGCTGTGAGTTCACTGCTGGGAAAAAGAAAAAAAATGCCTCTTCATTCTGGCTATAGCTGAAGTTCAGTTGCTATAGCAGATGTGCTCCTAAATGGCTGAGTAAAAATGAGATTCTCTAAAGCAACATACCATGCCATCCCAGGGACTTAGGTCAAATCCCAGCCCCATTACAAGCTGTCTGACTTTGAACAAGCTACAGTCTCGATTTTCTGCACCTCCATTTCTTCATATGTGAAAGGAGAGTAACCACAGTTCCACCACACTGGATTAGTGGAAGGATTCAATAAAATAATGCACATAAAGTACTCATCAGACTTCCTGACACATAGCAAGTACTCGGGGAAATGTACTAGAAATAGAGATTTTTAAAAAAAATCCTGTGGGATGGGGCCAATGCATCTAATCAGGGTAAGCCTATACCTGTGGCATGAGCACTCCATATGGGTGCTAGTTCCAGTCCTGGTGACTTCACTTTCAATCCAACTCCTTGCTGGTGGCCTGTGAAGCCAGTGAATGAGGACACAGACCTTGGGCTCCTACACCCATGTGGGAGGCTTGGATGAGCCTCTAAGCTCCTGGCTTTGGACTGGCCAAGTTGTTTCTCTGTCTCTTCTTCTAACTCTTACTTTCAAATAAATAATATTAAACAAATCTTTTTTTTAAAAAAAATCCTGTGTGGGCTGGTGCTGTGGCATAGTAAGTAAAGCTGCTACCTGTGACACTGACATCCCATATGGGCACTGGATTTAAGTCCCAGATGTTCCACTTCTGACTCAGACCCTTGCTGATGACCTAGGAAAAGCAGCAGAAGATGGGCCCAGTGTGGTAGCCTTGTGACTAAAGTTCTTGCCTTGCATGCCCTGAAATCCCATATGGGCACCGGTTCATATTCTGGCTGCTCCACTTCCCATCCAGCTCCCTGCTTGGCCTGGGAAAACAGTTGAAGATAGCCCAAAGCCTTGGGACCCTTTACCCGCATGGGAGACCTGGAAGAAGCCGCTGGTTCCTGGCTTTAGATCTGCTCAGCTCCAGCCATTGTGGCCACTTGGGGAGTGAACCAGAGGATGGAAGATCTTTCTGTCTCTCTTCTCTGTAAATCTGACTTTCCAACAAAAATACGTAATTAAAAAAGAAAAAAGCAGCAGAAGATGGCTTGATGTGACCCTCATGGGAAATCCAGCTGTTGCTCCTGGCTTCAGTCTGGCTTAGCCCTGGTCATTGTCACCACTTGGGGAATGAAACCAGTAGATGGAAAGTTTCTTTCTTTCTGTTTCCCTCCTTCTCTCTCGGTCTTTCAAATAAAATCAATAAATCTTTCATAAGAGACAATCCTGTGGTCAATTTCCTTGAATAGCATATAATTCTCTAATATGATTGAGTTATTGTCTAATTATAAGTGGTAGGGGATACAGTATGACACAGAGTCTGGGTTCTTCTGGTAGCCAGGTGTCTGACAATGAGCAAGCCATTTAATCTTTCAGAGCATCAGTCTTCTCTTTGGAAAAATGAGGATAACAATCATGCTCCTCTCACGGGACTGGATAAATTCAGTGAGATTTTCCATGTGGAACTCAACGGGGCCATATAACAAGAGCCTAATGCATGTTGCCTGCTCCCATAAAAATTACTATTGATAAGAAGACTTTTCAATGCCATGTTTGCATATTCAATTCAAGCCCAGTCCAACTCATGCTAGGACAAAGAACTATTTTTGCCTTACTCAAGGCTGTGCTCCTAGACCTATGCCACCATCTTGCTTGATGCATCCTCAATCTCAAGAGAGAGCAAGGCAGAAAGACAACTCAGGCCCAACCCATCCTCAGTACCAGGAAAGCAGACAGGTGCCATGTCCATAAAACCCTCTTTATAGAGAAATGGAGAACGATGTCACAGAATGTCTCATGGAGTCAAGCATCTCCTTTGCCAAGAGATCAGTAAGAGTGAATTCAGCTTGTCCAGCCCCCACAGCCCAACCCAGCCTCCATACCTTACTGTCCAGCTTCTTCATCGTCACTAGGTCCAAGGACTTTAGGGAATGACCCGTGGGGGCAATGAAATACAAGCAGGCGTGGATCCGGGAATCATGATAAGTGTGCAGCACTCTTCGGATCTTCAGTTCCTCCTGTAGGTAGGCCTCAAACTGTGCATCGATGAATTCCACGATGGGCTTGTAGCTAACAAGGGAGAGTAGTGAAATGATCAGACCCCTGCAAAAACCTTGCCACAGTCCATTCAGAAGTTCAAAATGCCTTCTGGAATCTGACCCCATTATATGTACTTGCACATCTTCCCTCAGTTGGGCTCCAATCCTGTTGGCCTGGCCACTCCTTTGGCCTCAGTATGAGTCAAACCTATACCCACCAATGTTCCTTTCCCCTGGAAATCCCACTTCTCTCTCCTCATCCCAATCTTTGTCCTGACAGATCTCAGGCCTCAGTTTAACACCCACCTCCTTCCCACAGCCAGAAATGCCTTCTGTGCCCCCAAAACATCACGGCAATAGGTTGCTTTTCCAGGATCAGTGTTCTCTTAGTTTCACTGTGTCTTCCTGATGGTGTCTCTCTATTCCCTGTGGGGTCCCAATATAGTGTGAAGTCTGCTGGTAACAGCTGTGGACAGGCTGACTGTCCTGCAGGTCATGCTTATGTCTTGACTTCGTGTCTCCCCCAACTCTGTGATTCTTAAGAGTGAAAGCTGGGGAATTTTGGCAGAATCATCTGGGTCTTTTGTTCATTCTTGCTAGAATGAGTAGACCTCTACACCTCGCTCCCCTTAGGGTCAGGTACCTTGGCAGTTCTCATTTCCTCCATTGCTGTGATTTTGAAATCTAAGCATGCAGGCACAGTGTAGGCAGAGCCCACCCCCACACACCCTCTGCACCTGTGCACATGCACCCCAACTCACAGCACCTACACTCCAGCCTCCCCCAGATGGCCAGCAAGTCTTGCCAAGGTTTCTTTTTTTTTTATGTATTTACTTTTATTTGAAAGGCAGAGTTACAGAAATACAGAGAAAAAGAGGGGTCTTCATCTGCTGGTTCACTCCCCAAATGGCCACAATGGTTGGAGCTAAGCCGATCTGAAGCCAGAAGCTGAGAGCTTCATCTAAGTCTCCCACATGGGTGCAAGATCCCCAAGGTCTTCAGCCATCCTTCACTGCTTTCCCAGGCCATAAGAACAGAGCTGGATTGGAAATGGGGCAGCCAGGACACAAACCAGTGCTCATATCGGATGCTGGTGATGCACTAAGAGGCTTAGCTTACTATACCACAACAGTGGCCCCCATAAAAACCTCCTAAATGATAGCACCTTGCTCCTCTCCATCCTGTACCTCCCTGAGATGCTTCCTCCCTCCCCTTCTCCCTCTCCCTTCCCAGGCCACTTCTAATTCCCTCATCCACACCCCGGCCTCTTTCTGCTCTAACTGTGTCAGCTTAGCTTCAGCGCTGCCTGTGTTCTCATCTCCCTTGCCTAACTGCTTCAGCCTGGGAGAGAGGTGTGCCATGTGGGCGAAGGGCAGGCAGCCCTAGGACAGTGCAACCCAAAGGGAACATGATCAAAGCAGCAGCTAGGCCCAAAGCATCACCTCCCTCCTCCAGCCTGTGGGAAGCCTACCTCCTGAGCCTTTAGGCAAGATCCTCCTAACAGAGAAAGGGAAAATGACATTTGTAGAAAAGAAACAAGAACCTGAATTCTGAGAGCTGCACACAGAGAGCCACATGCAAGGCGCGTCAGAGAAAACCCTAAAAATATCACCCGTCCTGTCTTCCTTTGATCCTTCATGCGGACTAAGGAGTCCACATTGTTCTGCAGAGTAAAAGCATCAAAGGATCTGTTTGGTGGCAAAGATCCTCAGAAGGTTCCTGAAGAATTCAAGGTGAGGGAGGGGAACAATTCCCCCCACCTTTACCTAGTTAATTCGCAGATGACTGGCTGCTTTGAATCATTCGAACATGACATGACTTCATTTATTTTTCTCTATTACATAGCTTTTTTGGGAAGGGCTATGCAAAAGAGGATCAAAGCAGGAAAAAAAAAAGCAGTATGCATTTAGCTTGCTTCTCCCCTAGAGTCTCTAGTCATGCCCTGGGTGTCTCTTTCTGTCTGTGTCTGAGAGTCTCTGAAGAGGCGCATGCATTGTCAGAGCAATGAACCCAACCAATCAGCCAGCAGCAGCTGCGTGCCCCCTGGCCCAGACGGGTGAATCATCTTTGTCTTAGTCATCGCTGTATCCTCAGTGTTGCTGTCTAGCCTGCTGTCTGGAATGGGCCACCCCGGGTTCCCCTCCCGTCACTCCCAGGAGCTCATCCTCCCCTTTCCTCCAGTGGCCATCACTCTTCCGCACTCCCTTAACGCTCCCTGGACTTAAGTCCATGGTAAAAACAGAATCCCTTCCCCTACACAGGCAACACTGCTTCTTCTCCAAGCTGCTGCCTTTCTCATGTCTTTTTCTACTGAAAATTTCTCCACCTCCCACACCCACGTTCTAAGGAGGGCTGAGGAGGGCAGTCTTCTCAGCTCTTTCTTCCCTGTCTTACTAGGATCCTTTCCATCTTGGACTAAGACCAGCTCCAGCACACTCTTACCTTCCTCGTTGCCACTACTACTCTTTTGGACCATTTCAAGGCAGCAGTTATGAACCTGGGGTCCACAGATCTCTACAAAGTCTGTGGCTAAAATTCAGAGGATCATTGAACTTGGATGGGAAAAAATAGATCCTTTTTCATTATTAATTTTAAAAAACTACAATTCAGCAGTTTCTTCAGTTACAAGTGCAGGTTAGCTAATGTTTGCAGTACCTGCACTGATATTTTCATTTCCTCTTTCAGTTGTTTCAAATGTCTCAACATAGCATTTATGCTCATTACAAGTCCTAACTTCTTATTGCTGCTCAGCCTGCATTTAGGATATGGTTCTTTTAGGAATTAACAAGGAGGCACACGTGCCCTCTGAAATCCCTGTACCACGGTCAACAAAACTGTATCTTAGCTCCTCAGAGGCTGGTCCTTCAATCAACAGCAGTAGCAGCAGCACCTGACAGCTAGACAGATGTCGCCTCTCCAGCCTCTAGTCCAGACCCAGGGTGCATAAACTTGATGAAGAAGAGCCCCAGTGGTTTATTATGCATATCAATTTGAGAAGAGAGGACACCATTGGCTCTTCACAGAACATGCCTACTTCTTCAGGTGCATGGAAATGTAATGCTTGCCTACCCACCTTCAGCCCCTTTATTGCTTGAATGGCCTTTATTTTTTACAACCCTCGGCCCTCTCTTCTTTAGTCACCTACCCACCTTACCATTAGCCAAATCAGGGCTAACCAAGAACTTCACTCTACTACTGTGATCTGTTGACCACTGCATATCTACACAGTTCTCTTAGGGCGTCAATCCTGCTGAGACCCATCTGTCACTTCATTTTGGCTCTGCACCCTCACTCTTGCCATCATTTTCAGGGTGTCAGTCCCTTCCTGGCCTCCTTCCTTGTTTTCTCAGGCTGAATTCCATGGACCATTTTTTCCTTAATGAGCACCCTCATCTCCATTCCACCGCTGACCTTTCACTCTTATTTGTCCAGTAAAACTGCTACTCTGAATTGGTTTCAGGGTTTACTTTCTCTGCTCCTATACTGCTAAAGTTGCCTACACGTAAACACAAACATGTAGATCTTTACACTACTACAAATTTATAGTCTCTGGAGTAAAATGACAATCCCTTTACTTGACTTTGACAGGTTCCCTTCCCATTGACCTTATTTTGATCCCTGTAAACTTATCTCCTCTGAAATCAAGTTCCAAAACTGACTTGTCAGCCCCCTTCACCCAAGATGATTTGGATCTTCTACTTCACCAACAAACTTGAGGCCATCAGGCTGCATATTGCCTCCCCAGTTCAGGTGCATGTATACAAGGGAACTGCAAATTTGTGGGAAAAAAAACCCACAAAATTAAAAATACATTAATTCTGGTTCAAAAAGCTGAAACCAATCTGCATTAGAGATTTTCAAAAAGGTCATAGAAAGTGGGTATTATGAAAAGAATGATTCATGAATTTCAAAAATTATCTTTATCAAAAGAAACTTATCTTTTAATTGCATTTTCCACAAACTTTTTGAAGTAGACTCGTATGTATCTACCTCATTCTTTAAACTCACAAACACAATTCCACGGTGTGGCTGTACCACAGTTCATTCAGTTGTTTTATTGATGGAGGTTTAGATTGCTTAGATTTTTTATTTAAAAAAAACTTAAAATACATTTATTTTTATTTGAAAGGCAGAGGGAGACAGCATTGTGGTACAATTAAATTAAGCTGCCATCTATGACACTGGCATCTCATGTAAGCACCAATTCAAAGCCAGTTGTGTCACCTGCAATTTAACTCCCTGCTAACGTGCCTAGAAAGATGGCCTAAGCTGCTTGTGTCCATCACCTGGAGTTGCAGGCTTCTGGCTTTGGCTTGGCCCAGTCCTGGGTTCTGCAGCCATTTGAGGAGTGAATTGGCAGATGAAAAGAATCTGTTTCTTTTTCTCTTGCTCTCTATCACTTTGCCTTACAAGTAAATAAACAAATCTTTAAAAAAAAATCAAAGCGAGATAGATATTTTTCATCCTTGGGTTCCCCTCCTGAATTTTCAAAGCATCTAGGGCTGGGCCAGACCAAAGGCACCCAGAACTCCATCCAGGTCCCCACTGTGGGTGGCAGGGGCTCAGCTGCTGGAGATATCACCTGTGGCCTCCTAGGATCTGAATTGGAGGGAAGCTGCTTTTGCGAACAGAAGAGGAATCTGAACTCAATTACTACATTATGGGACACAGGCATTAACCGCTACACTAACGATTTGTCCCTGTTCAAATCTCTCATATTGGAGCACCAGTGCTGAAGTGAGCATCCTTTCTGTATGCTTCTCATGCACATGCACAATTGTTTCTCTGGGCTATTTGCTTAAAAGTAGAACTGCCGGGTCATAAGTTATTCACACTTTAAATTTTAACAAAGACTGCCAAATTTGCCATCTAAAATCTCTAACAATTTACACTGCAAAACAACCCAGAATTACTTCAAGTCAGTGAACACATATCATCGTTTGCAAAAATGACGAAAATATTTTATTGTCTTATTTTGTATTTCCCTAATTACTAGAGAAGTTGAATGAGCATCATTTCACATGTTGATTGGCCATTTGTATTTCCCTGTTCCATCATTTATCTGTTTATTTCTCTGTTAATTGTGAAAACTTGTTTTATCTTTTAGAAAAATCCCATTATATAGGTTGCAAATATTTCATCCCCACACATATGTAGCTTGTTTCTACATTCCTTTCCTTATGCAAAACTCTTAAAATTTGTTTTAGTGAATTTAAATTTGGCAGTCTTTACTTCTGTGACTTTGGATTTCCTGTCATGATTGGAAATTATGAAACTATTGTCCAATATTTTTTCCTGTATTTTTAGAATTTATTGTTGTAGTCCAATGGAAATCTATTTTTGTGAGTGATACTTGTGTGGGAGGGTCTGCTTTTATTTATTTTTTCCTGAATGGATGGCTTATTTTCCAACTTTCATTTTTGAAGAGTTCATTCTTTCCCCGCAGACTTGCATATGCTGTATTTCCACATAAACATGAACCTGATCTTGGAATTTTCTGTTCTGTTGTTTGATACCTTTATGTCCTTACTTCCAGTCACTTGGCAGTCACAGAAATCTGGCATTAGGAATTATGATTCCTAAACATAGTAATGACCTTCATAGCGGAAAAAATCCCATGAATATTGTTTGGTTTTTAGTTTCCAGGACACCATTTCTAACACTGTCATATATGCTAAATGATATAACACTCCTCGATCCTCCCCATCTGTCTGCAACATCCAGTACTGGACTAGGCCAAACTTGAGGGCCAGGAACTCAATACAAGTCTCCCATGTCGGTAAAAAGGACTCAACTATTTCAGTCATCACCTGAGGCCTCCAAGGACCAGTATTAACAGGAAGCTAGAATCAAAAGTGGAGCCTAGTGGCCAATGTTGTGGCACAAAGGGTTAAACCACCACCTGTGACACCAGTACTCTGTGAGTTCCAGCTGCTCCACATCCAGATCCAACTCTCTGCTCATGAGCATGAGAACGTAGTGGAAGATGGCCAACATTCCTGGGCCCTGTTACCCACATAGGAGACCTAGAAGGAACTCCGGAATACATCATAGCCAGCCTCAGTCATTGAGGTTATTTGTGGAATGAACCAGTCGATGGAAGATATCTCTCTCTTTGAAATTCTGCCTGCTGAATAAATCAGATATATTTTTTGAAAAAGTGCAGCCCAGGCGCTGATGTTGTGGCATAGTAGATAAAGCTACAGCCTGCAATGCTGGCATCCCACGTGAGCCCTGGTTTGTGCCCCAGTTGTTCCAATTCTAATCCAGCTCCCTGCTAATGTGCCTGTGAAAGCAGCAGAGGATGGCCCAAATACTTGGGTCCCTGAACCCATGTGGAAGACACAAAAGAAATTCCTGGCTCCCGGCTTTGGATAAGCTCAGCTGTGGTCATTTCAGCCATTTGGGGAGTGAACCAGTGGATGGAAGAGCTCTCGGTCCCTCTGGCTCTTCCTCTCTCTATAACTCTGCCAATACGAATAAATCTGAAAAAGAAATTTGGAGCCTGTTTCCAATCCCAAGCACCTTGATATGGGAAGAGGGCATCCCAAGTGGTGTCTTAACTACCAAGACAAAAGCACCCCACCTCCTGTCTTACAAACAAAACTAGGACAACAAGCAAGACTATAAAAAGCAGAGTAGGTATTCTAGAATTTAATACAGAAGACAGAATCAGTTTAAATAAAACACTGCATATATTTGTTCTTTTTAAGGAAGTGAGTATGGCCGTCACAGGTTTAAGGAAGACATCAGAGGACCGGTAGACACTGCTCAACACGCGAATGGTGTTTTCTGAATCATCACACTCACGTGCTAGCCATGTCATATTGGGTTCAAGGCAGATGGTGTCGGTCTGCCCCCACCCCACCCTGTGCTGAACCCAGGCCTCATCACATCCTTTTCTCAGCCTCCCCACACCCTGACTCACTCTCAAATGTTCTCCAGACAGTCTTTCCTGGACCTCCTACCTCCCTTTTCAAGATAACCTTTTTTCCACCTACTAACTTAACCATCACATGCTTTTGCCTTTATCCCAAGATTCTTAGTCTGTTCTGATTCCCAGGCTACCTTACAGGTGCCTGAATAACCCATGTCTGTATTTCCAACACAGACCTCATCTGATCCCCGACTCTGTAGTCAGCTGCTTACCCCCCAAGGTCATTTTGTGATCTTGATAGTTCAGAGAGTTTCAACACAAACTGCTATGAAACAGAGTTGAATACCTAAAAAACCTGGCCTTTCCTAATACCTCAGGTGACTTCTCTTGCCAAGCACCTTGCATCACCTGTCCATTTTCCAAAGGCAAAACTTCTAGCCTCAATCTGGATTTTAACTTTGCCTTCACAATTGGCACAAGTCTTCCAAGTCCTGTCTCCTTTCCCGACCTCAGCATCCATCTTAGTTCCACCTTGATTTAATTAATCTAATAGTCTATCAATTGGTCTTGCTCTTCTATCTTATCTCCATACCTTCCAAAAGAACACTTTTATATATATTGAAAAAGCAGTTACAGAGAGAGGAGAGACAAATCTACTGGTGCGCTCCCCAAGTGGCCGTAATGGCTGGAGCTGAGCCAAGCTGAACCCGGGAGCCCAGGAGCTTTTTCTGGATTTTCTACATGAGTGCAGAGTCCCATTGACTTGGCTTATCCTCTGCTTATCTTTCCCAGACCATTAGCAGGGATCTGGATCAAAAGTGGAGTAGCTGGGACATGAATTGGTGGCTATATGTGATGTTAGTGCTGTAGATGGAGGCTTAGCTTTCCATTGTGCTGGCCCCCCAAAGTACCTTATTTAAAGACGGATGAGACTATATCATTCTACTGTTAAACTCCTTCAATAACACCATGTTTGCATACTGTCTGTATCCCTCATTGACCTGCCTGCTGCTTTCCTCTTCAGGTTCATCATCCCTGCTTTCATCCCAAATGCTAGTCCAGAGGCTGGTCCAGGTTTTGTGTGGCCTTAGATTTGTACTACCTAAGGGCCCTCCCCAAAATAATAGAAAATGATGACAGGTCTTAGAAGGGATTTGTGTACGCAAAGATCCTAAGGCTTATGCTGCTTTAGCTCCACAGTAGCTGAGTCTATTCAGCCAAGCAGAGGAAATTGTAATTCCCTAGAACACTCTAGAGGGTTGGCTCGGTGGTTCAATTGGCTAATCCACCAAGTCCAAGTACCAGCATCCCATATGGCCAGCAGTTCATGTACTGGCTGCTCCACTTTCCATGCAGCTCCCGGCTTGGAGCCTGGGAAAGCAGTAGAGGACGGCCCAAAGTCTTGGAGCCCTCTACCCAGGGCTCTTCTTGCCAGGAAGACCTGCAAGAAGTTCCTGGCTCATAGCTTTAAATCTGCTCCGCTTGGGATGTGCAGAGTAAACCAGTGGATAGAAGATTTTTGTCTCTCCTTCTCTATGTAAATATGTCTTTCTAATAAAAATAAGTAAATCTTAAAAAAAAAAAAAGAATATGGCAGAAACTTCCAGATCACTTTGCCTTCGTCCAAGCAATTTCCTCTGCCTGGAATGCCCTTGTCCCATTCCTTGGCCTGGCTGAGTCAGCTCAGGGAGCCTGTCCGTCCTCTGTGAAGGCTCGCCTGACCTTCCCATGTGGAACCAACTGTTCTGGCCTTTGTGCTCTCATTGCAACTCGTCCTTTACCTTGTCTGTACCTTGACAGAATAAATCACATTCCATGGAAATTATTTACCTAAAACTGCTTGCCTGTGAGTGCCCTGAAAGGGCAGAGACCAAGTCAACACCTGGCACGAGATAAGAGCTCAATGGTGTATGCTGAACAGAACTGAGACCCCATTCACATATGAGGGAGCCTTCAAAATGTTCATGGCACACGAGGGTTATGAAAAACAATACATGTATTTCAAAAATGCTCCCTACCAAAATCAAGCTATCCTGTAATGTCACATTTGCATGAACTTTTTGAAATCACCCTACTGCATTTGAAAGAAACTCTTTGGTAAATCATTCAGAGTGGAACAAGTACTGTAGACAGGAACCCTGGGTGGGGACAGCTAGAAGGATAAGCTGGGCCCCAGCATCTGTGCTGTCTCCATGCTCCCTGTAGTAAATTCCCCTGTGTGGTCCCCCAACCACATCCTCACCCCACTGCCTCCCCTTACCTGTCCTCCTTGTTGATCTGGTCCCCAAAGCCCACTGTGCTAACAATTGTGAGCTTCAGTCCCACATTGCTCTCCTGAAGGTCATAGGTATTGGACCGAAGCTGGACACCAGGTTGTGTGTGGGTTGCTGGCTCCCCCTCGAATTTGGTGTTGAACAAGGTGTCCATGAGAGTAGACTTGCCCAAGCCTGTCTCTCCTGCAAAGAAAAAAAGGATAGAATAGGGTCAGTTTGCACGGTGGCTGTGCAACCATTACCCAGCATATTTCAGATGGAAATTTGTTGATGTAGGAGCATGCACACAATCAAAGACTAAGTGAAAAGCACATAAAAGTATGCCAGGTCATGTATCTGACCTAGTGGTAAAGCCACCCACACCCCACATCAGAGAACTTAAGTTGGAGTTCCAGCTCTGCTCTGGATTCCAGCATCCTGCTAATGCACACTCTGGGAGGCAGTAGATGATGCCGAAAGTGCTTGGGTCCCTGACATCCACATAGGAGACTCACAGTGAGTTCCTAACTCCCGAGTGTCTCTGCACAGCCCTGACCATTGAGGACATTTTGGGGAATGAACTGGAGAATGGGAATTCATTCTCTCTGTGTCCCTATCACCTTCTCTCATGTTAACAGTTGGGGCTGGCACTGTGGTGCAGTGAGTTAAACCACAACCTCTAACTGGCATCCCACTGGCTCAAGTTCCAGCTGCTCCATCAGTATTTAGCTCCCTCCTAATGTTCCTGGAAAAACAAAAGAAGATAGCCCAAGTATGTGGACCCCTGAGAAACAAGTGGAAAACTCAGAAGAAACTCCTAACTCCCGACTTCAGCCTGGCTTGGCCCCAGCTCTTGCAGCCATTTGGGAGTGAACCAGTACATGTATGATGTCTTTCTCTGTCTCTTCAGCTTTCTTTGTAACTTTATATTTCAAATAAGTATAAAATCTTTTTTAAAGATAATGGGATTAGGGTCATTTTCATTTTATTCTTTTCTATTATCTGAAAAGCTTACTTTAAATATATATTGCTGTTATCAGTATATACAGAAATTATATTCTAGGCAGTGATAGAAAGGTGTAGCAGTGTCTAGAAAAAGACTGGAAGGACATACGTGCAGTCTTACCCATGATTATCTCTGGCTGAAGGTTTTCATTTCTTTGTTTATGCTTCTCTGAATTTTTTTAGTTTACTTAGGTTTTTTTTTTTTGATAATATAAATCAAAGAGTTATTTACAATTTTTAAAAAGGGACACTAGGCCCTTGTCAAACAAATATTCTCTCCTCCCAGCCCCTGTGTCATCACTTCCTTGAGGGCCCTGGAAAGTGCTGTCCACAACACTTTCTAGTGGGGAAAACTGTGGGGGGTCCTTGGCTTCTTCTTGCAACCTGGTTGAGTTGTCTGTGAGACCATATTTTAGCTAATGGGAACTTAGCAAGTCACAATTACACTTCTCCTTACATTTCCAATCAACCACCATTTGTTTAACTAACAGGCTGCAGAACACTAATAAATTAACCTAATGGCATTTCAAAAAGCTTTGAATTTCAAACTAGGAAGATGAGTGGGGAAAGCTCTGTGGCTGACTGCTGAAGGTTAGAGAGGTTATTTCTGGGGCAACGAGGGATATCAAGGCACTTTCAGGAACCAAGAAGTCTTAGGGAATGGGACAAAGCATGAGTCAGATGGAAGCTGGTGACACAGGAATTAGACAGGAGTTCAATATAAAGCCACAAGCTGGACTGGGCACTAAAATTTTCCCCTAAGCCTAGACTATACTGGACCCCCAACCAATACCCAAGAGATTCAGAAATAGCAGATATAGTAGTCTGTAGCTAATTACTCTGAACTGTCCTTTGAAGATGTAGACTACCCTACTATTCTGCTAGCATCATCCCTCTTTTTTTTTTTTTTTAAGGATTTATTTTGAGGGCCAGTGTGGTGGTTCAACAGGCTAATTCTTCACCTTGCAGCACTGGCATCCCATACAGGCACTGGTTCCTGTCCCAGCTACCACTTTTCCAATCTAGCTTCCTGCTTATAGTCTGGGAAAGCAGTAGAGGATGGCCCAAGTCCTTGGGACCATGCTGCACCCATATGGAAGACACAAAAGTTCTTGAAATCCAGCTTCAGATCAGCTCAGCTCTGGCCATTTTGGCCATTTTGAGAAAGAGTCAGTGGATAGAAGATCCTCTCTATCTCTCCTTCTCACTGTAAATCTACCTTTCAAATAAAGAAAAAAAAATCTTTTTTAAAAAAGTGGCGTTATGGCATGCACACACAAGAATCTGGTCTGGGATCACTTCAGATGAAGTTTCTTTAGGTATCCCTCCAACTGAACTGCTGATCTCAGAACCCCAACCATGAAGAGAGGTGTAGGTTCCACGGTCTGACAATGGAGTGCATGTGTTACAGCTGGGCTTCCCCAGAGGCTCAGACAGAGCAGTGGACAGCATATCCAGGTGCATATGGAGGATATGGCAGTTCATCGAAACCTGCAGAGGACACCTGGTACCACAACACAGGACAGAACAAATTCAACTACCCCAGCCAAGTGTTGGCAGCGAAAATCTGGGCAAATGGAGACTCTAAGCTGGACTATGTCAGCCAGTGGATTCTGAATAGATTCCATCGTGCTTGGAGCAGTGAGATTGGCAGCAATTCAGAACTGTTGAACTATCAAAACTATTTGAGCAGGACCCTCAGAGCATGCCCCACGTCAGGGACCCTGGGATGGTTGGGAGGCTGGGTGGGGCTTCTCCCTTTTATATCCCAGTTTCCTCCAGATACAGAAAAAAGAGAGAGAGAGAGAATGTAGAAACAATGGTCTTACCTACTTTTCTGTAACCCTTGACCCTTTGTGCCCTAATCAACTATGTAAAGATTATCAAAATAAAATAATAATTAAAAATAAATAAATAAAAAGGTGGTGTTAGAGAGAGAAAAGGAGTGACAGAAACCTCCCATTCATTGGTTCATTCCCAAAATGTCTGCTATAGCTTAAGCTGATCTGACCCAAAGCTAGCAGCCAGGAGCTTCTTCTGAGACTTCCATATGGATGCAGGGGCCATACTCTGCTGTTTGCTCAGGCACATTAGCTGGACTGGGAGTGGAACAGGTGGGACTTGAACCAGCATCCATGTGATTTTGGAAATTTAACCCATGATGCCACAGTGCTGGCTCTCATCCCTCTTCTTCCCACCACCTCCCCAGGCCTAGGCATGTGAGCTTGAACTGCTCCAGTTTGAAAATGTTTGCTACTGGCAATTCCTGGCCTCGCCAATGCCTCAAAGAGACTCACAGCATATACTTGTAAGCTGCTACAGGGCTGGGGTTAAAGCTGCATGAGGAGAAAACAAAGAAAAAAAAAGAAAAGGGAGGAGGAGGAGAAGGAAAAGAAAGAGGAGGAGGAGGAAAAGAAGGAAAAAACACTCCCTCTACTCTGCCCTCTCTGGGTGTGTTGAGCTTGGCATCTTCCAAGCCTTTTTATATCCTGAATAATGAGCTTTGAATGCAGGAGGTGCTTTCAAATGTGTCAGTGATGGGAGCTTTCTCTCTCTATCTCGGTGTGTGTGTGTGTGCGTGTGCACATATGGAGACAAAGAGAACAAGAGCCCAGATCTCCAATCCTCTAGTCCAAGTTCACAGCCAAGCCCGAGGAGCATGCTGCCTTGTTGGCTGTAGGAAGTTGGTTCCTCACACAGATTGTGTTTCCAGTAGGGTCTGCTATGCCCATAAGCCAAGAAGACTCGCCAAAAAAAGGCACCATCCCTCTCCCCTCCCCTGAAGGAACAGGAAGTGTTTTGATTCCTAAGAAAACATTGATGAGCTGGAGCCTTTGCCATGCAGGTGCCAGCCTTTGGCCTAGCTTTTGGCCACACAGCAGAACATATTGTCCCCCATCCAGGCTGGGACGAGGATACAGCTCAATTACACCTGCAGCCAAGAACTCCCCAGGCAGGGACCCAAGTGTGACTCGCTCCCCGTAACTCACCTCCAGGTGCATCCCTACCCACATTTCTCTCCCTGAGCTCCCTGCTGAATGCCTTGCATCTCCCAGAGAGTAGTGAGGCTGTTTCCAGCACCCTGAGTAGGCTAGCTGGCCCCTTGATGTTAAGAACCCTCAGGTTGGGGCCCGGCTGTGTGGCCTAGCGGCTAAAATCCTCACCTTGAACACACCAGGATCCCATATCCGGTTCTAATCCCGGATGCTCCACTTCCCATCCAGCTCCCTGCCTGTGGCCTGGGAAAGCAGTCGAGGATGGCCCAAAGCTTTGGGACCCTGCACCCGTGTGGGAGATGTGGAAGAAGTTCCTGGATCCTGGCTTCGGACCAGCATAGCATCGGCTGTTGCGCTCACTTGGGGAGTGAATCATCAGACAGAAGATCTTCCTCTCTGTCTCTCCTCCTCTCTGTATATCTGACTTTGTAATAAAAAAAAATCTTAAAAAAAGAAGAACTCTCAGGTGGAATCTTCCTGTATTCTTAGAACCAGGGATCCACCCCGTTTGTACAGCTGAAATTGGGGCCAAGAGAGAGGAAGGGCGAGCACAGCAGGGACAATGACTACTTTGGTGCCAGTCAGCATAATAGGGCTGTGGAAATCAGGTGTCCAATAATGACTGCCTGGAGAAGGAAGTGGTGGGCAATTGAGATGATGGTGCTAAATGTGATTCTGAAAAAGAACAGAGAGAGGAGACAACTTGGCCTCTGGCTACCAAGGAATTCTTGCTCCAAGGTGACATAGTATGTATGCTAGTCATGCCAGCATCCCATATGTGTGTCTGGCTGCTCTGATTCAGCTCCTTGCTTGTGGCCTGGGAAAGCAGTAGAGGATGGTCCAAGGCCTTGGGACCCTGCACCCATGTGGGAGACCTGGAGGAAGCTCCTGGCTTTGGACTGGCTCAGTTCTGGCCATTACGGCCATACAGGTGGTGAACCTGGTGAACCAGGGTGGATGGAATATCTCTGTCTCTCTGCCTGTAACTGACTTTCAAGTAAAATAAACAAATCCTTAAAAAAGAAAGGAAGGAAAGCTCAGCTCTTCTCCTCTGTGCTGTTAAATATGGGCCTCCTCCAGCACCTTATGTAGCTGAAATTCCTTGCAATTGATTAAATGAAGAGCCCTGGCTGGGTTATCATGAAATTACTGTATGACCCGCATTAAGCCCTTTGCTCCATAGGAGAGGACTGCTTAATGGAG